CGCACGAGTGCGAGAGAGACGGAGCGACGAAAACGACTCTGTCTGCCTGGTGTGGCGCGAGATGCATGCAGGCCCAGTTTGTCGTCACGTTCCTCGATGTGTTTGTTGTTTCGCCGTTGTTTTTGTTGTCGCCGTGTTTATGTCTGCCCAGCCTGGCTCTCTCTCTCTCTCTCTCTCTCTCTCTCTCTCTCTCTCTCTCTCTCTCTCTCTCTCTCTCTCTCTCTCTCTCTCTCTCTCTCTCTCTCTCTCTCTCTCTCCTCGTTTGGAGATGCTTTACGCCGGATGCGTGCGGATTGCCGTTAACTGATGCGGCCGTAAAGCCTGCACCGTAATAGGGGCCGTCCGGAAACCCGAAGGATGGTTGGGTCACGTGGTCGCGAGGGGGATGACTCCGGAGACTTAGACGCGCGCGCTCGGCCGAGGAGTCTATCGGACTTCGCGTCGATGTGGTGCGTGACTGTACTGGTTTCAAGCGTGGTCTTCTTCTAAACCTCGAAAGTTTGCGAGTGCTATGCCGAAATCAACTGTTTTTCAGATTCATTCCACTTGGTAAATTTATGTAGGCTAGGAGGGCAATGCGAGTACATATATGTTGACATTTAGTGTGCTCTGCTTCGTGAATGGAATGGTCCCCCTTTAATCCGTGTTTTCTTTCGTTTTGGGAGGAGCGGGCTTTGCGCGCAGTGGTGGCGTCTCGCCCGGCGGCCCGTCTTGAACGCGCGTTTCCCTAAATACGGTTGGGCAACTAGCTCGGCGGACGCCGGCAGCAAGCCGCGCCGCGGCAGACTCATTCCGAGAGTCGTCGCTCTGTCTCTCTCGCACTCGCGGGGCGTCCCGCATGGGTGCGACAGAGACAGAGCGATGGAAACGACTCTCAGTCTGCAGTAGTTAGTGGGGACTCGTTCCTCAATTACGCCTTCCGGGCGGCAAGCGCTCGGAGCGCTAGACGCACTGGGGCTCTAGGCGGCCGGTTTGCCGGGGATGTGGCTTGGCTATCATTACAGTGCGTGGAAGACAGGTGCGTAACTAATCCGCGTTACTACCTTACCTACACTCGTGGATTTCTGTCAGGTAAAAAAAGCAACAGCATCAGAGACAGAGCTAATCAGTCTGCTGGAGGTCGTCGGCGAGGTCGAGTCCCTCGCGAGTCCCTCCCTTCCTCCTACTGCATAACGCATGTAAAATCAGTGGCGATGGAGCGCCGCGCCAGGACAATACCCCGCGCCCGAGTGACGCTAAACGGCAGCCTCGTGAGGCGCCTCTTGTGCGCGGGGTATTGTCGGGGTCAGCCCCGTCTTCCCGCGATAGTGCGCGGGGGCCTTGATTAGCACGGACACGTGTTGCTCCGGGCGGGGCGGGGCGGGGTGGGGCGGGGCGAGGCGGGGCGGGGCGGGGCGGGGCGGGGCGGGGTCATCGGGAATGGGACTGAGAGCCGTACTCCGCCAGCCCCCGGGGCACCTGTTGTGTTCTGTCTGTCGAGCTAGCTGGCGCTTGGTGTTACCTCACCTATCTATGGATCAATCTGGCCTGCGCCACGCCACGCCGCGCCACGCCGCGCCACGCCGCGCTGTCCCGGGGGATGTCAGTCCCGCTCGCTAATCAGGGGGGCGGGCCTGGCGGCCTGGCGGCCTGGCGGGCCGACCGACGTTGTGCCATCGCAGGACGACACGACCGCGCTTCCAACGCAGTGCAACGCAGCGCTGCTCGCTCATTCCGAGCGGCGCGTTCGTCGCTCTGTCTCTCTCTCTCGCACTCTAGAACCCGCCAGGTAGGCTGCGCGAGAGAGACAGAGCAAGGATGAGACTGCTCAGGTCAGAGCGGTGGCTGCGGATTTTTCTAGTGCGCCTCCCGTCCGTCGGTCGGCAGCGGGTCGTTGGGGACGTCAATGGGATTGATGAGGTGGAGTGGGCTGCTGCAGCGCGCCGCCCCGGAGGCCGCAGGGGCGCCGTCGGCCACGTCCAGTCCAGGCGTGCCTCGCTCGCACTCATGCGGCGTCCCGCATAGGTGGGAGAGAGACAGAGTCGAAAACGACTCTCGGAATGAGTCTGCTGCAGCCGCCACGCCTCGGGGTGAAGGTTTCTCTCACGTTGGCGATCGGCGTGTGTCTGCCGCGCATCCTCGATCTGCCCGTCCTCCCCGTGCTGCCGAGCCACAGCGAGTCGTGCCGTCTCTCTCGCACGCGTCAGGGCCGCCCCACGAGTGCGACAGAGACAGAGCGACGAAGCGAATCTTCGGAATCCGTCCGCGCCGCGCCGCGCGTCCTTCTGGAACGGTTTCGCCGCAGGCGCGCGGCGTGGCGCGGCGTTGCACGCGGCTGGTGATGCAGTGTGCCTGCAGCAGACTGACTCCGAGAGTCGCCGCTCTGTCTCTCTCGCACCGACCCGGCACGCCCCATGAGTGCGAGAGAGACAGAGCGACGCGAAAACGACCCTCGGAATCAGTGCCTGCAGTGCCTGCAGCAGCCTGCGGGGGGACGTGTGACGCATACGTCTTGGTCACGGCCCGCCACGCCACGTCACGCTCGTCACGCTCGTCACGCTCGTCACACCGCCCCGTGGCACCACTCGGCACTGCGCGGCACTCGATATGGGGAAGCAATTTCACGTCTAGTTTCGGGCGGCGTGGCGGCGCGTGGCGCGGCGCGTGCAGATACCATCGCCTGCATGTGTTATGATGGACGCCGCGGCTGCAGAGCTGCAGATGGCGGGGGCTGTTTACAGCCACACGCACACACACACACACACGCGCGCACACTCTGCGGCCGGCCAGCTGCCAAATGTCGCCGTGTGTGTAAATAACTCGTAAACCCACGCGGCAGTGCCTGCAAGCAGTGTGTGCGTTCGTCCCCCAGCCCTACGTCGTGTCCGTGTCGATGGCGAGAGACTGGCAGGACCAGCATAGGACCTCCTCGCGGCCGGTATACCGCTTGCACCGCATGGGAACGGAGTGGGAACGCTCGCACCACACGCGGTTACTTAATAACTGTAGCGAGTGGCCGAATTATAATGTGCCGTGGGAGCGTGCCACGCCGTGCGTGCCGTGCCGTGCCGTGCCGCGACACGCGAGGGCGGCGCTGCTCCCGTTGACAAAGACATTCTTGCCTCGCGGGGCAAGGCAGGCAAGGCAGGCAATAGGGCAATAATGACGTCCTCGCCAGCCACTTAGCCCGGCAGCACACTGATTCCGAGAGTCGTTTCCGTCGCCCCGCCTCTCTCGCACTCGTGGGGCGTACCTTGTGGGCGCGAGAAAGGCGGGGCGACGGAAACTACTAGCGGTGTCAGTCTCTGCTGGCAGGGCTCCGGAAGGTTAGCAGCTCACGGCCGACCCGAACGGCGGATGGCTCGGGATGACTCTGGATTTCAGCGTGCGATACTCCTAACGAGATGGTGCTCCGAAGTTCATCCATTCTTGCGCTCCGCTAATCGAAATGGTACTTAAAATGAAGTCAAAATGACTTGGCAGGCCTCGGTTCTGTCCATTTTGACTTGAAAATGACACCCCTTGTTCTCATTTCAACATCCTTGTTTACCTACCCACAACAAACCAACTGTATACTAAGAAAATAAATGTGGATGTTCAAAACAACCAAAGCCATTTTGAAACTTTTGAAAGTTCGGAAGTGCTTCGGCGTCCATGTCGTGAGTCGTGGCCCCGCCTGTACGCCGCCTCCCTCGCGGTCCGGCTCGTTGCAGGCGTTGCGGCAACACTGCTAAGTACGGCCAGGGCGGCCACGGCGGCCACGGCGGCACCGACTCCCAGGATCACGTCGCAGTATGCGAAATAATGCTCATACCGGCAGCGTTAAGAAACGCCGTTTCGTTTGTCCGTGGGAGCACGCGCGTATGGGCCCTGCCGGAACCGGGGCGGGGCGGGGCGGGGCCGTTGGCGCGTGGACGGCTGATCGCCCGCTCGGCGTTGTCCGCGTCGCGGCGGAGCAGCAGACTGATTCCGAGAGACGTTTTCGTCGCACTGTCTCTCTCGCACCCAGGAGCACGCCCCATGAGTGCGAGAGAGACAGGACGAGGGCGACTCTCGGAATCAGTCTGCAGAGCGGCGGATCAGCCGCGCGGGCGGCGCTGTCCGCCTGCATGACGGCGTCCTCGACGTGACGCCGCGAGTTTGGATTTGGCGGCGTCCAGGCGAGCGCGAGCGCTTCCTCGGTCCGTCGCTCTGTCTCTCTCGCACCCACACGGGGCGCCCCTTGGGTGCGACAGAGGCAGGCGGCGGCCTGCAGGCGAGCGTGGTGCGGCGGCGCCAGGCGGCGCGGATGGAACATGTCGAAGCAACGGCACCGCAGGCAGGCCTGCAGGAAGGCAGCCAGGCAGGCGGATGCCGGCCACTCACTGGGCCGTGCTCCACGCCCGTGTCGGCGTGCGCAGCGTGCGCCGTGCGGCCGTGCGCGACGCGTCTGGCATGTCAAATCTCGAGAAATTTTTTATTGAGGGCCAGGACGTGATTCGATTAGGGATATTTTCTAAACTTTGGAAACTGTTGGCTGTGCATCGACTCTCGAGGGAACCGTGGCCTGTCCGGGTCTGAACACGTGGACCCTTGAAACCAGTGCCGGGTCTAGAGCTGGCCTGAGGTGGAGCGAAGTAGTACTTTTTGCCTACGGACAGATGCAAAGTGTTGCCTTTTGTCTATCTTTCAGCTGGCTATCTAGGGATCGAAGGGGTGCCATTGTCGTTTAGTCGCCTCCCTCTAGGGGGATTCGTGCCTGAAGACCGGTGCAGGCGGCCAAAACTCTTGACGCGTTTTAGACTCTAGAGTCCCCAAACAGGACTTGTCGAACCAAGCGTGTGACCCCACCAATGGATTACCCTCCGAATGAGGAATCCATTGGTGGGGTCACACGTTCGCTTCGAGTCCCATCTAGCGACTCTGGAGCTCAAAACGCGTCTAGAGTTTTGGCCGCCAGCACCGGTCTTGTGGCCCGCTTGGCGAGCTCGGCTTGGGCCGCTTCCACTGCACCGACTACAGCGCACTGTTCTTGCTTGCAGCTTCGTGCAGGAATTCGTGGACTCGGCCGTGGACGGCGTGTCGCTGCTCCTCGAGCTGCTGCGCACGGTGCAGCTGCAGCAGCAGGGCGGCGGCGGCGCGGGCGGCGGCGTGGCCAGCCAGCGGCAGGCGCTGCTGCAGGAGAACGCGTGCCTGCAGTGCCTGCACGGATGCCTGCGCTGCCCCGACGCGCCGCGCCGACTGGCCGTCAGCAGCGCCGGCCTCTTCACCCTCGCCGTCTCCACCATGAGCAGCGTCAACAAGTCCAGGGTGCTGGCCCTGCAGGTGAGTCTCACGCCATGTCACGTTTGCTGCTCACCCATAGGCAGGGCTGCCCACGCGTCATTATGGGGAATCTGGAAATCATGGAACAGTCATGGAAAATATCCCTTCGAGACTATGACTCCTCAGCTTCCAAGCCTGGAGGCCTCTGACCAAACTAGACGCAGAGCCTCACACATCATTTTGTCAATGTTGTCACGGAAATAACGGAAAAGTCTTGGAAATCGGTCAGCATGAATGAAACAACGTAGCACGGGGCTGCAATAATAACAACGGGGTTTAAACATGAGTCCTGCGCCCAAACTTGCAACCAGCAGCACTCTGCTGGTGCAGGCGCACAAACCAGCCCAAGACCGGCTCTGAGTGGGAGAGCGCCCGGTGGGTAGGCCACCCATCCGACGCCTCGAGAGCCAGACGCCGTTTCGTGCAAATAGACTTAGCTGCTCCCCTCCCCCACACCATTTCCCCAAAAGGTTGTGCGCTGAAATCTAACCTGGAATGCGTGGTTGCAGCTGCTGACCAAGACCTGCGAGGGCTGCCCCGAGGGCCACGGCGCCGTGTCCGAGGCCCTGTCCACGATGCGCCTCCGCTTCGGCGAGCCCGTGCGCTTCCGCTTCCTGGCCGGCGTGCTGTCCTCGGCGGGCGGCCAGAGCGACCTGCTGCTGGCGGGCCTCCGCTTCCTCAACGCCTTCCTGCGCTCCGCCCCGGGGCCGCAGCAGCGCGTCTACATCCAGGTGAGTCGCGGCTCTCTGCGTTCGATTCGAGCGATCGCGAGCAGTGTCGTCAACAACGTCGGCCAAAATGGCCACACTGAAAACCTAAGTGTGTACTGAGTGCGTACATAGACCCGGGTACACACATCACTTAGAGCACTCAAGTGTGTGCTGAGTCCACACTTCAGTGCACTTTGCACTAGTCGGAAGGGTTGACCAGGAGTGTCTGACGGCGTGATCCTGTTGCAGGCCGAGCTGGGGCAGGCGGGCTTCCAGCCGTCGGCGCTACGCGACACGCTGCCGGCCTCGACGGCGGGCTCCGCCGAGGTGCAGGACGAGTTCGACGCGTGGCAGCGCCAGCAGGTGGATGTGGCGGCGCTGACGCAGCGCTGCCAGCAGGCCGAGAACCGCGCCACGCAGCTGCAGGACCAGCTGAGCCAGCTGCAGCGCCGCCTGCAGGTGCTGTCGCTGGAGCAGACGCTCAAGGGCTCCAAGAGCAAGGACGACGACCTGGACAAGGACCTGGACAAGGATGACAGCCGGTCCACGCCTGCCGAGGACGAGGGCATCTCGTCGTCCGACCAGGACCGCTCGCTGTCGCCCGACGCCGGCGACCGGGAGCCCATGGTGTACGAGGTGGTGCTCAAGGTGGCCGACGGCCACAATGGACTCAACGGCGTCAACGGCATCGGGCACAACAACCAGCGGCCGGCCCCGCGCACCGCGCCGCGGACAGCACCGCGCGCCTCCAAGCTGCCCCAGCAGCAGGACGAGGACGACGAGGAGGAGGCGACCATCGAGGAGGTCATGGAGGAGTTCCAGAACATCATCAACGACGCCGAGACGGAGGTGTACGCCAACAACCAAGTCAACAGGACGTCCGCGGCGTCCGACCGCGAGAGCACCAAGAACGTTTACGTCAACGGTGACACGCTGACGGCCAGGATACAGGTGCCGTACCCGCAGGACAACAACCGCGCGCCCGCCAAGACCGGCAGGCTGCGGCTGGAGGCGCTGTTCCAAAACGCCCCGCCCGCCAAACCGCAGCCGCAGCAACAACAACAAAGCCAACAACAGCAGCAAGCCCCGCAGCCCACCCAGCGGCTGCAGCTGCCGCAGCGGCTCGCGGTGCCGCACGACGACGACGACCAGCTGCAGCTGCAGCAGCACGGCGAGAGCGAGATCGTCCCCAGCGCGCTGCTGCCGCAGCCGCCTCGCCGCGCCAAGAGCCTGGTGCACTTGTGCGCGCCCAGCAAGGACTACGTCAACCTGTGCAACTCCTCGCCCTTCTTCGACGACGCGGACTCGTTCAGCAACATGAGCGGCGACGGCGACAACTCCGACTCGCTGCTGAGCGCCTCGCGCGAGCCCCTGGGGCTGGGCCTCGGCATGGGCCTCAGCCTGGACGGCGGCTCGGCGGCGTCCCTCACGCGTGACAAGAACCTCCGCAACGCGGCCGACAGCGCGGCGGGCGGCGGGCCGGCGTCGTCGGGGGCCTCGCGGACGTCACGCGGCTACCGGTCCATCGCCATGATCATGCCCGACGAGGACTGCCGGGACTGCGACAAGGAGGACGACGTGATCAAGCCCGTGGAGGTGAGCGTGTACCAGGGCATGCAGGGCATCCCGGACATCCTGCGCTGCAGCAAGCAGACCAGCAGGCAGGCCACGAGGCAGGCGGCCAGCCCCTCGCCGTCGCAAGGCCCCAGGGACGCGGTGGACCCCGCCACGGTGCGCAACGGCAGCAACTACCAGCCGGCCGGCGGCGCGACGACGCTCGCCAAGCCGACGCCCTCCACCGCCACCACGGCGTCGGCGACGTCCACCCCGGTGCCGCCCGTCAAGTCGCCGCGCACGGGCAGCAGTTTCGACGGCCTGTTCTACGTGTCCGACACGCCCAAGACGCCCGCCAAGCCCTCGAACGGCAAGCCGCCCGCCGTGGCGCCCAAGAAGAAGAGCGCGCGCTCGTCCGCCAGCTCGGCGGCGTCGACGGAGCGCTCGGACTCACAGCGCTCCGGCAGCCAGCGGCAGTCCGACGGCAGCGCCGCGCTGCGGCGGCAGGTCTCCAAGGCCAAGAGCCTGGAGCGCATCGACGAGAGCCACGGCGTCAACGGCATGGTGGACATCGTGGTGTCGCAGAAGCAGCAGCAGCGCCTCGCGCCCGACGGCGTGTTCCAGGCCCGCGAGTGGAGCGTCGAGTGGGGGCAGGGCGTGGGCCAGGGCCGCCTCCCCGCCGCGGGCAGGCTGCCCGTCCCCGGCGGCGGCTGCGGCGCCGCCAACCCCGCCGGCCCCGTCGTCATCGTGTCGCGGTCCACCAGCGTCCGGCACCAGCAGCGGCAGCAGTTCCAGCCGCCGCCGAGGCCGCCGACGGGGGTGGGCCGGCGGACGCCCCCCGAGGGCGCCATGACGAGCCACGCCGTGCAGGCGCACCCCCTGTTCCTGCCCGTCAGCTCGCGGGTCAGCGCGTTCGAGAAGGGCGACCCCCGGCACGCCATGCCCGCCATGGGCCCCGCGCCGCCCGGCCCCGTCAGCGCCAGCTTCGTCATCAAGCGCGGCCACACCAACGCCGGCCTCTACTCGGGCCACCACGTGCTGAGGGACTCGCACGGCCCCGGCCACGGCCCCGCGCACGGCCCCGGCGTCAACATGGCCAAGATCGTCACCACCGCGCCCGTGCCCGGGCTGCCCGGCCTCGGCCACCCCGTGGACTTCGCGAGAGGCATCCACGTCAACCTGGCCGTGCCCGGCGGCAAGCTCACGGATCTCCCCTCGGGACTGTATTAGGAAATATCTCTCTGTACATTGTTTGTATTTTATTTCTTGCTCTCGCGGCATCAGAACGGCGGACAGCGTCACTGGTTTTGTTAAAGTTAGTTATTTAATAAAAGTAAATCGAGTGGGCATAACGACAACAAACTATTATTGATTGACAGAGACTTTAAGTTGATTTGACAACTGTGTTTTTTTTTTCTGGATGTTTAACAAAGTACCTTATTACTCTTTTTGCCAGAGTTTTGTTATAAGTGAACTGTAACTTCGCTGTATTGTAAATATCTGAAATAAATAAGTAGAATTTTTATGGTTATTTTGTGCTTTGAGATTTACAACCCAAATTCTGATATCGATCTCCGCTGAAGTGAAAAACCATCTAAAGGCTACTGACAATACTCTCACACACACTTCAAAATGGCTAGCCCAGCAACGCAGTTTGCATGGAAGTAAAGAGGGTAGAGATGTCGGGGGACCTGAAATGCGCCTGCGAGTAAGAGGAGTTGTCTATCCGCAAGGAGGGGGTGGGGGAGTACAAAGAGTTGCCTACCCGTCGGGCGCGCTCGGCCTGCTTTGGCGTGAGTCCGTCACACCGACATGTGTCGAGGGTGCTAATGTGCTTCCCGCAACATATTGTGTTGGCATTCGTCACAATAAAAGTAGAAACAGTCCTGAATGGGCAAATACGTTGACATTTATTTAAGTTTTCCTATGCGAGTTCACAGGGTTCAATCTCTTTCTTTCTCTTATTGTCTTAAAGTTACCTCAGCCAATCGAAATCAAATCAAATTCATAATGATGCTTCTATATTTCCAATCATTGAATAGTTAAAGATTTTATATCGAGTTACTTAAAAAGAAAGATATCGCACTATTACTAGGTCTAACTTAAAATCACAGAAATTATAGAAAACAGAAATCTTGTGAATGCCCCACGAGGGCAAAACTGACTGCTATAAAGACCCTAGCAGTAATCGTCCAATAGGAACAAATCTAAGATTAATAATAAGTTACAGGAAATATCACAATTATTCATGGTGTATGATAGGCTCCACTAGTAACAGTATGGCATGAATAGAAGAACAAGATGAGGACAAGATACAACAAAATAATATTAAAAGAACTCTTGAGCATCAATATCTGCCTCATGGTCACAATTATTGATTAACGTCATCAATGTGAGAGCAAGAAGTACAAACATAAATAATGGGTAAAATGGAGTCAACAAATACAAAAGAGCAGTCGTGGTCAAGAGGGGAGAAGAAAACCACTAAAATGTATGCAAAAAATATATCAGAGTATCTCCATTAAGTTAGTAAAACTTGATGGGAAGACCTAAGAGAACATTGAAAGGGGCCAGGCATACTGCTTAACACTGGATAAAAATGAATGTTGATCATGCGAGCAATGGCAACAGCAGAGAGGAGAGAGAGTTGAAATCAGTCTACACATGACCAGTCTCTTGCAAAAATAGGGAACAAGACAAAACGTCCCCAGAGAAGTGGTACGTATACTTTCATTAAATAGATTTGGTGAAACTGTTCTCGTTTTTGTGTCTTTGTACTAAAAAGAAATATTCTTCTCCAAGCGCCCACCGTGGACACCGATGGCACGTTACACTACGTTAGAGAAGTGGAGCATCAAAGATGCAATGATCCACGTGAATTTTCACAGGTTTTCAAACTTATCCTTTTTAACTTAGGAGCGTCCTTTCGAGTGAAGCAAATGTCCAGAGGCCTGTCTCCAGGCGCAGATCCAAGGGGTTGGCAATGAGGGGTAAGTGATCCCCCTTTTTTCAGTACTACGTAGGCCACAAGGCAGGCTACAGGCACTGCTTTGCCCCTGTCAAAAGTAGGCAAAAAGCACTGCTTGACCCCTCTGGAGGAAAATCCTGGCTCCGCGCCTGCGTCTCGGCCCGTGACGTTCGCGGTTTCGGTCGCAAGCAGCCGCGTGACAGTGGCCTGGCACTGACGGCCACCGCCTACTTGCTGGGCCTGGCGGGCGGCGCCACGCCGTTGTCCTCCTTGATCATGTCGGCCGCCTTCTCGGCGATCATGTAGGTGGGCGCGTTGGTGTGCGCGGCGGGGATCATGGGCATGACGGAGGCGTCCACGACGCGCAGCCTGCCGACGCCCTGCACGCGGAGACGCGGGTCCAGCACGGCCAGCGGGTCGCCGCGGCGGCCCATGCGGCACGTCCCGCTCTGGTGGTAGATGGTGAAGGGGAAGTGGCGGATGTGGCAGCGCCAGTAGTCGCGCGAGCCGAAGCCGTGGTGGCGGCACGCCGGGATCGGGGTGTCGTGCAGCCGCGACCCGAAGCGCTGGAAGGCGCGCGTGTTGGACATCTTGATGGACTCCAGCACGCCGTCCACCAGCGTGTCCAGGTCCTCCGGGTGGTCGAAGTAGTTGTGGAAGATGAGCGGCTTGCGCAGCGGGTTGCGGTCGCGCAGCATCACTCGCCCCTTGCTCTTGGGACGCAGTAGCATCGGCAGCGGCATCCACGAGTCCAGCTGCTCCACGCGCCCGAACACCTGCACACCATGCGGTTGTTTAGTTTGCCTTTCACGAAAAGTTCTGCTCTAGGACGAATTCACCGGTGACAGGGTTCACAGTCATGTGTCGTGACCTCACACAATTTATTGCGCATGTGGTACTTTTCCTACACATGTGTAATGCGCATGGAATCGCACGACGAGTTCACGAAACTTCGTACAAATTTGTTCGAAAAGCACGCATGCGAAATATTGTGTGACGCCACGTATTGGCCAAATACTTTTACAGTGTACAGCCGGCAAGCAGCAGCTCAGTTGCGGGGGCGCGGCAAGTTCAAAATGTGGCGGAGCGCCCGCGAAGTCGAGGGTAGGCAGTGCCGCAACGCAGCCACGCCTTGCAGTGTTGCCTACCCCGCACTCCGCAGGCGCTACAGACCAGCCCGCGTTTGTCCGGCTGTGTGGTGGCGCGGAGCTCTAGTCACGTGATTCGTGCTATTCGTACTACAACGTGCACGGCAACGCTCCTTTCACAGAAAGATTAACGAAACCGCAATCGCGTTTGGCCGTGAAACTGAAATGCAGATTATCGTAGCCCATCTGACAGAAATCAGGAGTTCAAAGGTCATTTTCTCGTGAGACCTTGCTTGAAGCGTTTTTTTTTCTCCGAGCGAGCGGTGGGGGACGCTTGATTATAAACAGCACTGCAGTGTGGGCAACTTAGCATATGCACGTCTCGTCCGAAAAAACAGGAAGCTCTCTTTTTTTGAAGGCGAATGTGCAGCCTGCGCAGCTGAGGGTCTCGAACCCTGATTGTGGGCAAGGCCTACACCGTAATTTTGTTTTAATTACACTTGATCGCCACAACCAAGCCTATTATTGCCTGCTGTTCTCTCCAAGGGCGATTTCAAAAATGGACGTCATATTAATCAGAATGCGAATTTTGTCACGTTCGTTTTTAATGTGATATGTCCCATTCGCTTCACTGTTGATCCGTGTTCGAACGAATGTTGACATCCTAATTGAGCGGCCGACCGGCCGAAAGGAATGTGTTATAGAACACTCTCAGACTCGTCCTGAGTTTTCGCTCAATAATGTATTCGTATTGACGTTAGTGCGCATGAAAAAGCGACTTTACATTTTCATTTGTTTTGGAAAAAATATCATCTATTCCGTCTTAACGAAATTCTATTGATGCGGAAAGACGCGTCGATGCATATTAACAAAATGTAGATTGAAGGATGAGAGTGAACGTGACAAAATTCACATACTAACGACTACGACGTCACACTACAACAAATCCAAAGGTCGGACTTCTCGCCACTCCAGAGGCAAGACAACGAGTCGTGCCAAGTTGTGGTCCGACCTCAAAGTCAGGCAAAAGTGTCTCGCCAGGAGACGTACTATGACGTCAGACCTCTGTCTGCCTCACCTGCTGGTACAGCTTCCGATCGAGGCCGAAACCGTCCTTCAAGGTGACGTCCGAAGTGAGGGAGCCGGACACGAAGAGCAGCTCCAGGTCGGGCCAGCCGCTGGTGTTGCCGTCCAGCGCCAGGAAGGCCACGGACTCGCAGCCGCCGGGGATGGTGAGCGGCCCGGTGTTGTGCGAGAAGTAGTCGATGAGGTCCTTCTGCGAGGAGGTGACGCGCTCCGTCCTGCAGGACAAAAGGCGGCACGTCACGCGTCGGTCACGCGCGCGTCACACGCCGCGGTGCGGCGTCACGGACGCGGTCAGTGTCACCCGGCAGACTGATTCCGAGAGTCGTTTTCGTCGCCCCGTCTCTGTCGCGCCCACACGGAACGCCCCGTGAGTGCGAGGGAGACGGAGCGACGACTCTAGGAGTCAGCCGTGGTCACACGCACGCGACGCGGAAATAGCCGCGCGTCGCAGCGGGAGACTTTTCGCAGACGGCACACGGTAAAAGGGCCGCCTTGAAAGTGAAATCCAACGTCTTTGTTCCACTTTCAAGGGACTTGAGTGAGTTTTCAAAACTGAGATCACTTTTCAGAACTGGTTTCGTCTCCACAAGTCTGCGGCGGAATGGAGGCGCAGTGGCGAAACGGCGCCCGGTGGGAGGGGTATCGCCGGGCGCAGCGCCAGCGGCGATACTCCGGCACTCCAGCACTCCAGCCTGGCGCCTCAGTCGGTCACCGCGCCACGCCCCCAGGGTCAAGTTCAAGTCCAGCGCGGCGCGGTGTGGAGCGGTGCGCGGTCCGGGGCGAGGCGGCGCGGCAAGGCCTCCACGCAAGGCAGCAGGACAAGGCCCGCGGCGACGGGCATTCGCACAGCTGGCTTCCTGACGTTTTCGTCGCTGTGTCTCTCTAGCACTCATGAGCCGTCCCTCCTGTGAAGATGCGCGAGAGAGACAGAGCGACGAAAACGACTCTCGGAGGTGGCGCGCGCAACGACAAAATAACGTCTTTCTTGCTCCACGACGACGTTGGCTTTCCCTGGAAACTGGGCTTTTGTTTTCGCGTCGTGGAAAGAAGATGATTGTGATTTTGCTGAATTGGCGGAGCAAGCGCAGCGCGTGCGGACAGCCAATTTGGACCGCGAGAGCGCCGCATGTCGTGCAGCCCGCTGCAGAAAAATACATGCCGTCGATTTTGACCGATTTTTCGCAAACGCGTTCGTGAAATGAATGGCATTGGTTGCTTCAATCAAAGATGATGTACGCGCCGCGTTGTGTACAGTGTACAGTGCACGCGTCACGTGACGTCACAGCCTTCCACGCCCTGGCCGCATCCTCTGCACGCCGGTATTCCGAACGGTGCTGTCGTCGCCCTGTCTCTCTCGCACTCGTGGGGCGTGCCGTACAGGTGCGAGGGAGACAGCACTGTTCGGAATCAGCCTGCTGCTCGAAAAAGGATTGCGCAACCGCTCATCGAACGCTTGGCTCCCGTGTCTCGGCCGCGAGCCTCACGAAGCATCGCTCGCGTCACGTGTGGCGTGGCGTGGCGCGCCGTGGCGCGGCGTGGCGTACCTTCTCCTTCAGGGAAGGCCGGCAGCGTGCGTGCAGTGGCCACTTGGAAGAGGCTTGGACACACATTCGTTTTAGACCAAATTCCGGAATTCATACATGCAAACTTGAAACGTGTCAGACCACGTGACGAAAACAAGCGCGGGCTCTGCCAGAGGACGTCTGGAAGCCTGCCAGAAATTTGACGTCCTCATAGTGCGTCATGCAGCACCGTTGAGCCTCTATCAAAATGGTCACGTGACCGGATACCGGGTTTCTTTGCCTTTTTTCGATATTGGTGAGGAGTCACGTTTATGGCGGCTGAGGCTATTTTTGGTGTGTGCTGCCCAGGGAGAACGGCAAGCCAAAACGTTGTCAAAATGAAGTCAAACTGACGTCATGGAGGGTCATTTTGACGTCCAAATGTCATTCCAAGACCTCTTGTGACCTCACCGCGACCTGCCAGTTCTCGTTGGCTGGGTCGTACTCTCGGCCCTACCTGATGGAGACGGTGTCGTTGACGAGGAAGATGACCGCCCCCGCCGACACGTGGTCCATGAGGTTGTAGCCCACTGGCAAGTCGGCCACCACGGGGATGCCCACGTCCTAGAGAAGAAATGACACAATCAATGAGTGGAAAAGTTTACACTTTTGTTTGGGTGGAGCACGTTCCTAGCCGAGTTCCTGCGGCTATTGTCTGATACAGTGGAAACTCGTTTTGGTTTCATAGCCTATGTAAAGTTTCTCTCGCCTTGTGTTGGCTTGTGCCAGGCTCGAAAATACACGTGAGATTCGAATTACGAGCTCGAGTGTTTTGAGTCCCCGAAAGGTTCAGATGATTCGTGAGAATTCTCCCTGTATGTGTTGAAAACATTTTGCTCTTTGCTTCTTGCCTTTTAAATACTGCACTGCCAACCTGAGAATCGACGCCTCGATCCACGCTTTCCCAAGCCTTTTTAAAAGGAAAAGATCTTGATTGGCGTTGCATTTGCACTCACTGCACGTGGGTTCAGTGTACGTCATCAACATGTGACTTTAGAATAACTCGAGACGGACAGTAAGGTTCACAACAAACCGGACGCCGTTCGCAGAGTGCGGCAAAATGTCAACTGCTTCAGCGCGAGCCACCGACTCGTTGTCGAGGGTCGGGGTTCGCAGGGTCGGGGTTCACAGGGTCGGGGTTCACAGGGTCGAGGTTCACTGGGTCGGGGTTCACAGGGTCGGGGTTCACAGGGTCGGAGTTCGCAAGGTTCGGGTTCACAGGGTCTGGGTTCACAGAGCTCACGGCCCGTGCGAGCGAATGCTGGAGGCAGACAACAGAACGCCGCGGAGATGACGCGCTGACATCGCGTCGACGCGTTCGTAAGGATGAGTGACGGCATCGGGCAGCAAAGAGGCCACTGAATCCTGGAGCTGTTTTGATGCTCCTCCCATTGTTTATCTCAATCTCTCTGGAAGCGGGAGTGTGGCGGACTCGCGGACTCGACGCGCTCGCTGGAGGAGTTTGCGAAGTTTACGGAGTTGGCGGGCGCTGCAGGGACTTTCCGCCGGGGGGGATTCCCAGTAGAGAGTGCGGCGGACATCAGCAGGACCACTAGCGGGGCGATTTGGGACAGCGTTTTCACACACTGTCTGCCTCTCTCGGCCCTCGTCAGTGCGAGAGAGACACGAGCGACGAAACCGCCGTTCGCAATCAGACTGAGCCTGCAGGATCCGGGATCCGGTGCTTTTACAAGCGACTGCTGACCCCCTAGCGCCGGAAGCACGGATGTGGTCAGGCGGCCGCGCCTAAACGCCCCAAAGGGGCCCAGAGGCGACCAAAGGGGACCCCAAGGGTACCGGACCGGGAGGATTCCACTGCACTGACGTGCCATCGCCAGCGCGGGGCTCCGGGTCGGGTGTTGTTGTGAATTTGGTTGTTGTCCTGACCGAACCGATCCGGGGAAAAAACCGAAGGGATCACTGGAAATCCGAAGGCAAAGTTCGCTTGCCACAAAATAAGCAAGTTGTTTTGAATGCCAAAGATTGACCTTCCTTCACCTGAAATCCTCATCAGCTTGCCAATTTAACACGTTTTGGCGCTCCGGACCATCCGGACGCCTGCATCGCCAAATTTCGGCAAGCTGCGGGGAGTACCGAGTGAGTGCTTTAGGGCCAGGCATGCCAATCGTTGGCATTCGAAACGACTTGCCAATTTCATGGCAAGCAAAGTCGCGTCCAGAGAGAGAGAGAGAGAGAGAGAGAGAGAGAGAGAGAGAGAGAGAGAGAGAGAGAGAGAGAGGTCTGTCTGTCTGTCTGTCTGTCTGTCTGTCTGTCTGTCTGTCTGTCTGTCTAGCACATTCCCTCCCACAATCATTGCGTACACAAAATTTTACAGTGGGTCAACAACCCTCGGTTACCCACCTGAAGGTGCTGGCGCGGCCCGATCCCGGACAGCATCAGCAGCTGGGGGGAGTTGATGGCGCCGGCCGCCAGGATCACCTCCCTGCGCGCGCGCACCGTGAAGCGGCGGCCGCCGCGCACCAGCTCCACGCCCTCGGCCTCCTGGTTCTTGATGAGCACGCGCGTCACCTGCGCGCGCTTCAGCACGTGCAGCACGCCGCGGCCCGCCGACGGCCCGTTGCGCCCCCGCAGCGGCGACAGGTAGGCGCGGTTCGAGCTCCACCGGCTGCCGTTGTTCAAGGTCACCTGGAAGGAGGCGAAACGAAACCGGCGGGGAGGGAGGGAGTGGATGCATTCTGATGCGTCCAGGGAAAGCGCGGGAAGAGTGACTTTGTTGGGGTGGTCGGCTCTGTTCGATAGGCTGGATTCGATAGCTGTGAGCCAACCCAAAGCTGTTGTTTGTAACCCTACATTGAACTCGACCTTTGATCGATTGATCGACGGAAATCCGTTCGTTCCGATCAGGCACCTGTGCGACGACAAGCTTCGTTGTCCTTGTTCGCATCCTCGTTCGTGGCTGCCAGCTTTTAGGTGTGGATGCGCACGCACCGGATTAACGATTGCAGCCAGTGTTGCCAAAAAAGTAGGAAAAAAAGAGCCTAAACCAAGGCCCAAACACACACAGTTGGGCGGCGGGCTGCATCTCCTACTGCTTACTAGGCAGTAACTCAACAAGCGTGGCGAAGAGTTGCCCAGTATGGAGGATGTCCGCTGCACTGCACACCTTTGAGTTTCGGCCGCTTTTTCACCTACTTTTCTGGCAACTCTGCTTGCAGAGCTATCGAATTGACGCTATCGAACAGGTTCGACTACCGCCACAAAGTCCCTCTGTCCCGCGAGGGCCGCGAGGGCCGTCGGCGCGGACCACCGACCTGCAGCGGCGCGATGCCGACCTGCTGCGCGCCGTTGTAGTCCACGAGCGGCATGCCGCGCTCCAGCCCCGCGTCCACGAAGGCCTTGCCCAGCGGCGTGTTCCAGGGCAGCCGCGACACGCTCACGGGGCCGTCGCGGTGGTGCCACCGCGAGTCGCCGCGCAGCTCCGGCACCTGCAGCAAAGCAGCCAAGTACGTTCAGATTAGTGTCCCCAAAGCGCAAATCCAGCAGGTACGCGTTTCGAGCTCCAGAGTCACTCGAAACGGACGTGTGACGTGATCAAAGGATTCCTCGTTCGAAGAGCAATCCTTCGGTGGGGTCACACGTTCGCTTCGAGTCCCATTTAGCGACTCTGCAGCTCGAAACGCGTCTGGGATTTTGGCCGCCTCCACCGGTCTTCTGGCCCACTGTGTCCCGTCCGCCTAGCGCCGGCAGGTAGGCAGCCCTGCGCGCTCGCGGAGCGACTGACCGCTTTGTTTACCTTTAACGGCCTCTCACTCACTCATTCACTCGGCGTGGGTGCGTCATCGAGCCATCGCGCGGCGCTTCGGCCGAGATTCGGCGCGCTCTCACGGCAAGGCCGAAAACGCGGAGCCCGCAATCGGCCGCGCATTGCAGTGTTGCGTCGAGCAAGTGCGCGGCAAACACAGATTCAGATCGACATCCCGCGCGCGTGGAGTGCGAGCAAGAGTCAAGGGTGGTGAACCGAGAGCCACTCACACTGCTAAAAAAAGCCGTTCTTTTCACACAGAAAAACCGTACCGAAAAACTGTTTCTCCTATTGGAACCCATGACATTAAAAACGGCACTGTGGTTCAGGTATGGCGCAAGCACCACACAAGTCGTCTACGAGCCAGCGGACCATTTTCGGCGGATTTTTCCGACAGTGGCGCGAAACTGAACTGAGCCACTGGCCGCGCGGGGCGACGCGATTCCGGCGCACGTGCTCCGTCGGGCACCTCGTGAGGCCGCCGTCGTCGCTCTGTCTCTCTCGCACTCGTGCGGGGCCCGTGAGAGTGCGAGAGAGACAGAGACGCCGCGTTCGGAATCGGTGCGCGGGAATGCAAACCGCTCGGCGGGGCTGGCCGGCTGGTCGAGGGGCTGGCGTGCGGAGGCCATTCAAATCTCGCACCGGCGCGGCGCGGCGAGGCGAGGCGGCAAGGCTAGGCAAGGCCCACACTGCAAGGCCCACCACTGCAAGCCACTACACTCGCTGCTCGCGGGTCGACGGCCGCAGCTGGCTGAAACCGAGAGTCATTTGCATCGCTCGGTCTCTCTCGCACGCGTATACGGGACGCCCCATGAGTGCGTGAGAGACAGGGCGACTCTCGGAATCAGTCTGCAGCGCGGCCAGCACCGCCTTTCATTAATATCACTTTCGTCGCGATGCTGCTGCACTGGTGCGCCGCTGCGCCGCCGGGGATAAGACTCTCGCTGGAACAGGTCTGCCCGACCCGACGCAGTGACGCAGCGACGCGGCTTTGGCGCGATCCGCGGTCGCGTATGGACCCGATATGCAAATCGGCCGGGCAAATCACGTGATAGAGCAAGAAAAAGAAACCGTGTCGTCCAGGTAAAAACGCGGGCCCGCCGCAGCCAATTTAAGCGACGAAAAGCAACCAATTTTTTTTTTTTGGAGTGGCGCCCAATCCGGTTTCCGAGGGTGCACTCCCGACGCTAAGGAGGCTCGACTACGACAAAGTGCAGCCGGCAACAGATTGATTCCGAGCACTGCTTTCGTCGCTCTGTCTCCCTCGCACCCGTACGGGACGCTCTATGAGTGCGACAGAGACACAGCGAAGGAAGCAGCCCTACTACTCCGGCAACAGGCCACAGCCGCGCCACTGACGCAGTGTCGAAAAATAAATGTGCGCGAAGAGTCCCACGGTGCATCAGTGACGAGATTGGCTGCCTAATTCCACAGTGTGGGCAAACAAGTCCGTATGGCGGCGATGGGCGGGCACGGCGGGCATTCCCACCACCAGCAACTAGCCGGCACCTCGGAGATGCGTCGTGGGATTGCCCTCCACGTGACTGTGGCTCTGCACTGTGACTATTTCGGTTGTCACTTGTTGATGACAATGTCAAGGCTACCTTTATGGCTTACAAGAATGTTAATCAGACCAGTTGATGACATTGCTGTCATGCCCAGGCCATCAAGTAAAGGAGCTTCGATGAAAATATCAATTTTCACACAAGCGTTTCAAACAAACAGTCTGAAACAAGTCTGAATCAAAGATTCAGACCATGAAACCTGACAAAAATGGTCTAAATTTTCGGATTTTTTTTACAAACAGTGTAGTGACATTGTCATTTTTTTTACAGCTATGAAAATGCCATCCACTATTTTGCCATCAAGTGACAACATTTTTTTTTTTTACAGTGTGTGACTCTGCGACTCTGTGACGCACCATCATGTTCTCCAGCTTCTTGAAGTACGGCAGCACGTCCTTGAAGGCCCAGCCCTCGCTGCCCATGCGCTCCCAGTTGTCGTAGTCGTTAGGGTGGCCGCGGTTGTAGATCATGTAGTTGAGCACGCTGGAGCCGCCCATCACCTGCAAGGCGAAAAACATTAAACGTCGTGAACTGGCATGGCGGCGGGAGCCAGGCTCGCCGTGAGCCGGGGTCGCCAAAATCAAATGTGAAAAGAAAAAAGACGACATCAAACGCTACAGAAGAAAATTGCAAAGAATGCTCAGAACTTGTTCACAAAACGTTTTCGCCAGTCAGAAATTCATCAAAAAATTAAGAATTTACCACCTTGGCCATTCTTAAGAAAAATATTATATCCTTTTTTGGGGGCGCTGGGAAGCCATCCTAACTCTTACTCAAGACTCATCGAGTTAAGGTAGTCTGCCGGGTGCCGTGCGAGTAAGGGCAGTTTCTTAGTGCCCTCGCGAGTTGGGCCGGTTTTCTAAGAGGAGTCGACCTAAATTTCAAATGTGCTCCTGCCTCAATCGTCCCGACAGAAAGCTCTCGTCTGGGCCTGTCGCAGTTCAAGTTCAAAGTTGGTGGGTCCAACATGACAGCCTTGGGTTTGCCCAGCCGGAAGTCCGACTTGGGGGGCGCGGCGCCGGCGAGCAAAAACAAACACTCGGGTGGCCGGGGCGTTTGCGGACGATTCATCATGACGGCGGAGACAATTGACAATCGCAGCCACGCGCGCTGCCTAAGTGCCTGGCAGGCAGTGCAGTGACTCGGGGAATCCTGGCTGCTCCTGGCCGACCAGGCAGGCCAAGGCACGCCGAAGGCACGCGCGTCCTCGTCACACATCTTGACTCTAGCCGCGCCTAGCCTCCACGACGAGCGCGACGTCGACGGACACACAATTAGCCGTCGACGACCTCGCTGAACGTGATTCATTTTCGGGGGCCATCCCTGTAGCCACCTCTGCAGCGCCGATTACATCAGTCTCATGTGTTTTTCCTATTTTGTTCAGTTTTTCCGAGAAAACTGCCGTATGGCAATAGCCGACGAGAAAGAAAATACAAGTCATTCAGTGAATTTTCTTCGTTCAAAATTGCCCGTGTATATCTACGCTCGACTATACTGCATTGACGTCGGTTGCACGAAGCGTCGGTTCTCACTCACTGAGTTGACGCGTCAATAGTTTTGGCCGCCTGGGCCGGTGCCTCTCCCTCACCTTTCCCCTGGGGTAGTTGCAGCGGTGGCCGCTCATGCCCAGGCAGGCCTTGTCGGAGGGCTGGGTGCGGTACTTCCAGTTGGCCTCGCTGAACTGCAGCATGTTGGCCACGATGGGGATGTCCATGGCGAAGTTCTCGCGGCCGCCCGCCTCCACCAGCAGCACGCTCCAGCCGGCCACCTCGGTGAGGCGCGCGGCCAGGGCGCAGCCCGCCGTGCCCGCGCCCACCACCACGAAGTCGTACTGCGGCAGCGGCACGCCGCGGTCCGGCGGCTCGTACGCGCCGCCCGTCACCTCGTGCACCAGCGACAGCAGGAGGGACTCCGTCAGGCCTGCCACGCAGACACGCACACGGTAAGGCACGTCAGTTGAAAAGGGAGGGGCCATGAAGACCGGCGCCGGCAGCCAAAACTCTAGACGCGTTTCGAGCTCCAGAGTCGCTAAACAGGACTCGAACCGAGCATGTGATCCCACCAATGGATTCCTCGCTCGGGAGCAATCCATTATTGGCGGGGTCACACGTTCGTTTTGAGTCCGATTCAGCGACTCTGGAGCTCTAAACACGTCCGGATTTTACCGCCTCCACCGCGCTCTTTTGGCCCACTGTAGTGCTTGAAATACAAGGGCTTGGCTTGGTTTCACTCAAGGGGTTTGCGTGAATTTTCAAAGTTGGCCTAACCGGCATCATTTTACAGAAATGGATTCGTCTTTGAAAAAAGAAAAAAATGCCTACACATGTCACAGGTTTTAAGCGTGCAGAAACCGTGACGCCTTGTGAAGCACCCGCCAATTTCGCGCCTCCTTTTCATTTTAAAATATCGTTTTAAAAATAAATAAAAAGGCACCGCGCGCTGCTGCTTGGTCCGCAGCCTCAGGCGATTAGAGTGGCCACAAAACGCAGGGTCGGGTTTGGCGGTGCACCGCACGACGCGGCACGCGGTTTGCAGCCACCGGACGCGACGCCCTGACCTTCCATCAAAAGTAACGATGCAGCGCAAAGGACTGGCAGGACAGGCGGGACTCCTGTTGGCTGCCGTGCGCCATCAGGATCCAACTTTTTCGAGTGTTTTTGTTTGCTGTTGTTTTTGTTGTTGCCTGTAACCTTTTGACTGTATTCAATGAAAGCGAATAAGTAAGCGACACTGTCACGCATACCGCAGCGTGCGCGAAGGTACCGAGCACTTTGGCTATAGATTAAAAACAACTTAGACTCCACGTCTCCACAATGCCTTTTTTTTCTCTCCTTTTTTTGTGCAATCTATCACTGACTGGCCACAAAGCCTATCTGGACGGGTCTCTGGAGGATGGCGCAAGGACGCCGTCCGACGAACTTGCCCTAGCCCTCCAAGGACACCATGCCGCAGGACGAGGCGAGGGCAGGACAATGCACTCTGGGCGAACGTGACGGCAGCAGGACGGCCGTGTAGTGTAGTATCGTGTAGCATAGTGCAGTGTAGTGCAGTGTATCAAAGTGTAGTGAATCGCAGTGTAAGTGCTGGTAGTGCAGTGCAGTGTATCGCATAGTAGTGCAGAGTATTGCATAGTGCAGTGTATTGCATAGTGCAGTGTATGGCATAGTGCAGGTATCGCGTGCAGTGACATGCAGGTAGTGCAGTGCAGTGTATCGCATAGTGCAGTGTATCGCTATGTGCAGTGTATCGCATAGTGCAGTGTATCGCATAGTGCAGTGTAGTGTACTGTGATGTAGTGTAATGTAGCGTCGCAGCCAGCGTGGAACACGCGGAGGGAATTCCTGGAATGACTAACAGGGCCTCTCGGTGGCACTGCACTGCAGTCTGCAGTTAGTCCTTGGCGCGACGACTCGTGCCGGTTGATTCCAAAGGATCTTTACGTCATACTCTGTCTCTGTCGCACTCGTGGGGCGTGCCGCAGGGGTGCGAGAGAGACAGAGCGACGGCGGTAAACGATCGTTTGCGGGAGTCGGGCGGCAGGGCAGCTTCTCGGCTGGGCCCGGCTGGGCCGAGCGCCCGCGGAGTCCGGGGTAGGCAGCGCCGCGCGACACGCGTGTGCAACGGGGCGGCCTACCCTCGACTCCGCGGGCGCTGAAGACTGCTTCAGCACAGCGTGTCCTCGCTCTGTCTCTCTCGCGCCCGCTACGCGCAGCCCCATGAGCGCGAGGGAGACGGAGCGACGGCAATGATGTGCAGGCCGCCGACCGAAGCAGTGTCGCAGTGTCACACCCACTGCTAGCCCCGCGCCGCGGGCAAGTCCGCCAAAGCGTCCCAGCACTCGTTGCACCACTACATATTGGGCGCAAGCCGCAATGTCAGGTCGCCGTCAGCCGGAGACTGATTCCGATCGTCGTATTTGTCGCTCCGTCTCTTTCGCACTCGTGCGGCGCGTCGTGTGGGTGCGAGAGAGACAGACTCTCTGAATGAGTCCGGAGGGTCGCCGAGGCTCGCCTACCTTGTCCGGCGGTGCGGCTCGCGGCGGAGCACAGCAGCAGCAGCGGCAGCAGCGTCCGCGGGGCGGCGCTGAGGAACGTCGTCATGGTCGCCATCCTGGAGCGGCGGCGCGGCGCGGGGGACGGCGGCGCACTTGGAGTCTTGGAGGCGAGGCGATCGGCGCGCCCGTCGTGCGGAACGGCGGAACTGGACGGGACGGGCGCACTGTGTGGCACTGTGCTACACGCTACACTGTGCCAACGGCTGCCGAGCTGCCAACGTCCACGCGGCGGCGCGGACTCGGACGCAATGCCGCACCATCGCACGCCGCGCTCCGGCCGGCCGCCCGGCCCAGGCCCGGCCCAGCAGCGCGCCCGCGCCGCCGGCAAGCCTCCGGCCAGGCCAAACGCCGGGACGCGGGACGGGACGGGACGCGCGGCGGGCGTCGCTCCGAGATCGACGCGAGACGCGTCACGCCGCGGCCGCGGAGCGCGGGGCGTCGCGGCCGACGGCGGAGACGGTCCAGGCGCACGCGACCGCAGCAGACTGACTCTGAGAGTCGTTTTCGTCGCTCTGTCTCTCTCGCACTCATGGGGCGTCTCGTAAAGGTGTGTGAGAGACAGCCCGATGAGCCGCCCCGCCTGATCAGACTCTGTCTCTCTCGCGCCTATACGGGACGCCCCAAGAGTGCGAGAGAGACAGAGCGACGAAAAGCACTCTCGGAATGAATCCGCTGCAGACGCCGTGGCTGGGCCGTGGCTGGGCCGTGGCTGGGCCGTGGCTGGGGTCAGGGCCCGGCCGGCGGCAACGCGCGGGATCCCCTAATGGAGGGTCGGGACGGAATCGTTGCGACGTTACTCTGCAGAGCTGGAGTATCGACGTCAAAGCCAGACGAACAAGACGCGTAGTTGGTTTGGAGATTTGCATATTCCGTGACAATTCGCACACACTGCGGCGAGCCAAACGGACGGCCTCTCTTGGCGTGGAACTCTCCGTGCCCTACACTCTCAGAGCTGGTGCCAGCACACTGATTCCAAGAGTCGTCTTCGTCGCTCTGTCTCTCTCGCATCTATATAAGGGACGCCCCAAGAATGCGAGAGAGACCGAGCCACGAAGACGACTCTTGGAATCAGTGTGCAGAGCACTCAAGCTTGCGCACTTCAGTGACTTGAGCCATGCACGTGGTGGCTTCTTGTTTTCCGCGCAATTTGGGAAGCTGCGCTCTCTGAATTTCCATACCCGCCAACCAGTGACGTCTGTGTCCTGGATGCGTCCAGGATGAGACATCTGCCCACTCCGCGACAATTTTTTTTTCTGACCGGAGATCTGACAGTACTAACGCGTTTCAGAAAAGTTACCAGCCAAAGGAAAAATAGTTTTTCTTTCAGGCCGTGCTCACTGTAAAATGTGAAAATTTGCTGCCACTTTATGAAAAAATAGTGAGTGAACGACAATTTTATCGGTTTCGAATGATGACCATCTCATTATGACATTTTCGTCAAAGCTCCCCTACTTCTTGAAAGAAAATCAGCCCTGACATTGTCATCCAAGTGAAACCAAAAATTTTTACTGTGCACAGCCGGACGTCACCGCTCAGAGACACAAAATCACGCACGTCGAGTTCCGTTTTATTTTTTGCCTCTCCCGTCATTCAGTAGAAACGCCGCAGCCGTAGAGCGATCCATTCTTCGGCGGTTCTTTTTCGATTTGCGGTTTTCGTGTTGGTGACGTCACTCGCTGGCTTCGCTGGCTCCGCTCGCCGCCCGTCTCAGTTATTTAAAGCCAGTTCACCGACTCCCGCGTGCATCTGTACAGGTACCCCAAGATTTCGCGCCAGGGAATCAGGTTTGCGACTTACTCGGTCTTCACGATCAGAGAGAGAGAGGGGAGAGGACTCCGGGGCGAGGCTGGTTTCTGCAAGGTCATCGACCCCCTGCAATGTATATCACGAGGGCAGGAGGGGCATTGACCCTCTTTGCGTATCGTCGGGACAGTTAACGGCTCTGAAAGAATCATTTTGTTTTCATTATTTACGGATTTGGGATGAGATTAAATTTGGTTCACAAATTATAAAAGACTTGGTTCTACTCCCGCCACAGTCTGCGGTGCAGTGTAAAAACCGCAAGGCAGGGTGCTCGCTCGTCTCGCCGACAGAGCTATGAGGCCACGTGTGCAAGCACTTTAAAAATTTGCTGTCAATTTTTTTCTAAATAATAAAAATAAGGATGACATTTTTATTGCCTGAAAACTATGACAAATCGGGGGCGTTGCCCTTCAAGAAGTGAGAATTTCGATTCTCACCGCTACAGAGATGAGAATTTTGTCTCTTTACCGCAGAGAGGTATGAGAATTTTTTCTGACCTACCCCTATAAGGTGGTTAATTTCTTACCTTTGGATATCCAGCTTGATTTCCAGTGTTGTGATCGTGATACGTATCGCGTTCATCAGATCAGCTTGCCCCTCCTCGCCTCGGCCTTGACCCATCCTGGAACCCTGGGCCGTGCGATTGGCCTGCGTGCCAAATGTAGTGCCAAACGCCGGCGAGGCAAAGCCAGGCAAGCCAGGCATGGCTGACGCTGTCACTGTCGCCCGAGGCAACGCTCCTGCGTGCTCGCTCCCAGGTCCAGTCGCCTCAGTCCGAAGGCTCGTTTCGTCGCGCTGTCTCCCTCGCACTCACGAGGCGTCCCGTAACGGTGCGAGAGAGACGGAGCGACGAAACAAGCCTCCGGCGGCCGGCGCGGCGCGACGGTCCGGGCGTCCCTCCCGCCCAGCCAAGCCGGCCGGCCCCTCGGCCCGTCGGCCCTGGTGCTGCCGAGCGATTCGGAAGATTCGTTTCGTCGCTATGTCTCTCTCGCACTCATGGGGCTCGCCATAAGGGTGGGAGAGAGACAGCGCGACAAACCTAACCTCTGAATCGGTCGGCTGGCCGTGCCGGCGCAGAGCGCGCAGAGCAGCGCCACGCACGCCGAGCTGACTGTCGGCACGTCCGCACGGTCCGCACAGACCGGCATGTTCGATGTGAGCACCTGCGAGAGAGACAGAGCGACGAAAACGACTCTCGGAATGAGTCTGGCGCGTTGACCGCCGTGCCGCGCCCTTCCCTGCGCCGTCCGGCTGGGCATTCCCTTGACTCCCTCGAAGGCGACGTGGGCCTCCCCCTCGTCTCTGGATCCGCCCTGTGCGGCGAGCGCCAGGGGTCGTTGTGTAGGTCTTACCGCTCCGCTTGTGCTGCAGGGCGCAGCTCCCGCCTCGCGCCTCGCGCTCGCTCCCCTCCCAGCTAGAGAGACTCGAAGAGACTCCGGTGGCCGCTGCTCTCGCCGGGGCTCGAGAGTCGATTGCTGCCGATTGCCCGAACCAACCAGCTGACCGGCCCGAGTCTCTCTAGCCACCCCTCCAGTGATTCATACGATATCTCTGTATCGCCAAATCGCGTCGTCGAATCGAGGGAGGGGTAGTCGCGGTCGACTCGTGTGTCGTATCGTTGCGTCGTCCGACCGCCGCCGCCGTGCTGCCACCCCACCGGCCAGGCCAGAAGACCGCGAAGGCGGTCAAAATCTCAGACGCGTTTTTAGCTCCAGAGTCGCTAAATGGGACTCGAACCAAACGTGTGACCCCACCAAAGGATTGCTCTCAGAACGCGGAATCCATTGGTGGGGTCACACGTTCGGTTCGAGTCTTGTATAGCGACCCTGGAGCTCAAAACGCGTCTATAATTTTGGCCGCCTGCGCCGGTCTTCTGGCCCACTGTGCGCCCCTCCCGTCTTACTCCGGCGGAAGTGCCGTGGCCACGGCCGTCATTTCTTAAAGCCCTGGAAAAAGGCAACTTATTTAAGGGAACCTTCCGTACAATCGGCCCCTCCCAACCAGAGCGAGGTAGTACGGTGCCGCAAGAGGTACACTGCATGTAAGTGGTTGTAATACAGAACAACGATTCCAAACGATCGTCTCGTCGCGCTGTCTCTGTCGCACTCATGCGACGAGAGGGTGCGAGAGAGACGGAGCGACGCCACGATGCTGAAGGTCCCGAAGCATCATTAGCCGCATTAGTCCCGCATCCCGCACGGTTCAAGAGTCGGAGGGCTCCACTCCGCCGGCGAGGCTGGCACGTCACGTGACTTCCGTTCCGGGTCGGGCCGTCCGGGGGGATTCCCCGTACCGGATCCTCGAGAGGTGTTTGGCCCACGGCAGCACCATGTAGCGCCACAGCCACGGCGGCCCATGGAAAAGCAGAAGAAGTCATTCCGTTCCGCGCTCCGCGCGTGGAGTCCGAACGAGTCTAGCTAGGGCAGCGTCATTTTCGTCGCTGTGCGTCAGCAGTTCGAAACGTGACTGAGTACAGTATATGCCGGTTACTTTCGACAGCCACATGATTGGGCCTCGTTTCTCAACACAACATTGCTCGTGCCGAGATATTTACGTATTTTTCACTGAGGCCTGCCCTTTCTGGTGGGGCCGCGACCTCGACGCGTTGTCGTTGTCGCGTCAGCACGAACGTGTTAAAGAGGGAGTGCGTGCCATTCCCTGTTCGAGTCATTTCCATCGTGAGGTTGGAATCTCATTTCGTTTGGATGACGGGCCCACGAGAGCGTGTCTGCCAGTTTGGGGCGGACGGCTGACTCCCAGAAGTGCAGGCCAATGATAGCAACGGTTTGAAGACTACCGATCTGTTTTTACCGGGTACTACGTACCCAGGATTTGCCTTGTGTGTGTGTGTGAGTGTGGGGGTGGGGGTGGGGGTCAGTTTTAGGTATGTAACCCATTTGAAATAACAAATGCAAAAGTACAGAATCTTTCAATTTTATTTAAGGCTAAAATATGACACATCGACGGAGTTACCTCGTTACATTTGTGATACAATCTCTCTTAAATTAAGAAGGGTATGACTTTTTTTAATAGACATGAAAAAACCTTGATGAATTGAGACAATGGTAGTCAATGCAGTCAGATGATGATTATGGTGTTAGGAGTAAATTAAGAGAGATGTTAATGGCAGATTCAATAATCATTTTCTGAGACTTAGTTTCAATGTACAATGGCAAATGACATCAATATAAGCTTGAAGAAAATCTGAACTCTCAACAGTTCATTGAAGAGAAAAACATAACTCCCTTAATAACATACAATATTAAGTTCAGAGGGACTTAAGCCAATAACATTTAGCACCATTTATGAAAATGTCAACAATTCAAAGGGAAACGGACAAACCAACACACGGCTGACAACTTTCTCTTTTTTTCTTATCAATTTCCAACATAACTATTTAACGATTTTGTTAACATTTAGATATATTAGTACCGAGAGAAATGTCTCAGCAGATAGTACAAGAAGCTTCACAGAAGCTTCCAGTCCTTCCAGTCTGAGGAACATAAATTAATATACATACCAAGTTCCATGTTAGCAAAAGAATACACTGTTGTTCTTTTTGTTGCATTTTTTTTCTCCTTTATAAGGCTTATTTTGGACTGGACAGGACCTAACTTATTTTGGTATTTGAGTACAAAATATGCCGCATATGCAGAGCAATGGCAGTTAATATACAAAAAAATCACAACATGTAAACAGTGACAATATACAAAGATTTTTTGACAAAACTTGGCAGTGGTATTCAATACAAAAAAAAAAAAAAACAATGTTCAGTGTTGCCTCAGCTACCATTGAAAGAACATTATCTAAAAGAATACCTAACATAAATCTTCAGAAAAGCAAACATTTTTGCAAAACCCTGTGACCAAAAGGAAAGGAAGAGAGAAACGTGTACAAATTGTTCCCAAAGGTGGCCAGATGAAGAGGACAGCTGTAAAAAGAATAGCTTGTATGTAGGTCACAGTGAAGTACTTTCTCTTATTAATACTGTACATAGTTTTGATAAATTATAACCAATCACTGAAAATCTTGTTATTCTAAAAACAAAATTTGTTCACTTGAATATGATTTGACACATATGCAAAGTTTAAACTCATTGATCTCTGTAGGCACAGTTCACAACACAAGAATAAGGAGAAAATCAAGAACCTAAAAGCAATGTCATTTGGTTACAGCTCCATTCACTATAACTTCAACAAAACTTAAAGTAACAAATCAAATATAAATTCAATCAAAGCTTTTTATGGCAAAGGTGTTTGTTACAACTTTACAAAAACTTACTATCCTCTACTAGTTAATTCAAGATTTTCATCATTATGTCAGAGAAGGCACACTGCCACCCACCTGCTGAGAACAGGCAGGTCCCTTAACTTGCCAGGCTATGAATACTAAATTAACAAAAAAATTAAATGAGCTAAAATAAAATTAAGTCATTGCTCATTTTTAAATCACAGAACTCATTCATTCAATCATTCAATCATTCACTCATAAATTTATACACACATTCCAAACAAATCATATAGTACACACATGGTCATATTAAAACAGCATTAATCACAATTAGTCAGATTGGTTCTCCTACACATAAAAAAGTTAAAGAAATACTTGTGCAAAGCACTGCCAGTCTATAGGGTGACTCTAGAATTTACAAATCTTCCTTAATAAGAGAATATAATGAGGTGAAAACATCCAGGTAATGATTTATAATACAAAATGTAAGAACATTATGAAAAACAATTTTAAGCCACATTATTACAAAATTACTACACTAACAGAAACATAGAAAAGGGCTTCATAGTAAAATAGTTTAGTTATTGTAACAATGCTACACATATCTTTCTTAAAAACAAAGAAAGAAGAGACGTTTATGACTTTGCTCCCACACACCTTCTTAAGGAAGAGAAGAGTTCAAAATGCATATCATCAGATAGTTCTGAGCATTTACAGTTTTGAAGAGGCAGTGTTGTATTTCTCATCATGAACACTCCAGGGCTACTCTCACACAAATAATCTTCCCACAGACTGGCTATGAAGATACACGTTCATATGAAATAATTTCAGTTAGAATTGGGAAGAAGCAACTAATTTTACTAACCTGGAACATGATTATCATTTCAAGGACTAGATGATTTACATTGTGCCATTCTGGACAATGCACAAATCTAAGAAGCCCTGGAATGATGAGCAATTACACTGATTACGCTAACAAAACAGGACACTCTTCACCGGCTGAACAATACAATGATGCATGCACAATACAACATGCAATCACAACTTCACAAACAGGCTGAACTTTGGAATCTTGACTCATAGTAAATCAATAGCCTGCACCTAGGAAGAAAATAATAAATAGTTCAACAAGAAACTCTGACGAAGAATCTCACTTTCCAGCATATGTAGGATTTTTGAATGTTGAAGTAGCTTGCTTGTAAATAGGATTCTCCCCCTGAAAACCAAAAACAAGTTAGGTTTAGAGGACATTAAGAGACATAAATTTAAACAAGACATCGAGCAGCTTCCTACATACCGCATTCCATCGAGCCATAGTTCTTTCTTTTTCAAACTTAGCAAATTCTCTTCGGTCATGGATAGTAGTGAGCAGTTTCCAAAGCAGGAGCATTGCAAGACCAATTAGAACAATTGCACCAATTACACCCAAAACAATACCTGGACACAAAAATAAAATACTTAGAACATCAAAAGCATCTCTAAAAATGACATCAAATTAATTAGCTCAACATACCTGGGATGTACACTTGTGGGGGACACTCCCTCTCCTGCTGAGCACGAATCTCCACTTTGCCAGTCTCATCGTAGGTATAAACATAAGCAAAGCGGCAGTCATCCTCGTCATAATAGGCACACAAGTTCTCATCCTTCTCTTCGTCAGCTAAACAGAAACCCGTAGTGACATGAGAGACGCTCAACAATACTACTTTTCACAACTATAAATATTGATCCGCTCACGTACCTTCTACAACATCAATAGCTCGAGGTACAAAGGTGCAATTGCGAGCACAATCCTCTGGATTAGAGAGTTTGCCAGTCTTGTAGACTAGACACTGAACACAATCTTTGAACTCCAAGCAGCGGCCAGGACAAGTCTGTCCAAACATCAAATCAGTATGTTATTGTTACAAACCGTTCCCAGCGATGAAATGTTGTGTAATAAAATGGCAATGACTTACGGGGCATTTCTCACAGAAGCGTCCAGAGTAACGCCCCTCTTCTCCTTCAAAGCATTTGCAAGTGCCGCATTCGCAGTCACCCTTTCCAGAGCAGATCTCGCCACCGCCCGGAGGGATGCAAGTCTCATTCGTGGCCCTGCAGTCGCAAGCAAGACCAGTCCAGCCAGGGAGGCACTGACATTTTCCACATTCACACTTTCCATGGTCTTCACCAGAACACAATGCGCCGCCTTGACGATCGCAGGAGAAGTTGTCGCATTCACAGAACTGTCCATAAATTTTCTGAAACAGAGAAGGAGTAATGTCAATACCGCACTAAGATTAGCTAAGATCCAAACACCACAACAGAAGTTCAAATCACCTCGTCAGGGGCGGATCTGGTCTCACAATCGCACAGCCCACACACACAGCTACCCCTGCCAGAACAGTCCACAGAGGTGGTGTTGTCGGGCCGACAGCCGGCAGCTTGGTCTCGGTCAGAATGTGTGTTGTCACTGTCACACTCGCAAGTCCGACCGAAATGTGACGAGTCACATTCACAGATGCCACATTTGTATGTGCCAAATCCGGAACACTCCTCTGCATTCACTTTGTAACTCTACAAAAGGATAGGGCAAGTGAGATATTGGCTTCCTGCACACTGTGATTGAGATACAATTCAGAAGTGGAAGAGGATACTTACAGTACTCTCGGGATTCTCACAAGCACAATCACAAATCATTTCAAGGTCAATCACAAGCGATTCATTGATACCAACTGGATAAATTTGGAACGTTTGTTTCCACTCAGCAGGGTCAGCTGGGCATCTTGTGACCTATGAGAAAACACCAAATGAAAGTAACCAAACACAGTACAACAGAAAGCAAACTGACTTTATAACTGAATCAAACAACTTACTTCAATGTCAGCATGGAATTTCACAAGGGTCCCAACTTTAAGACCATCGCATTTACTTGTTTGCTTCAAATTCAAAGGGTCCGGATCTAAACAGGATGAGTAGTATGTAACCTTCACTGCGCTGGTAGCATTATCTTTCATTTCAACAGAAGAAGAAATTTTCTGGAAAAAGGAGGAAAAATAATTAATTGTTGGTTTTACAGCAGAACTGAAGACTATTAAAACACAAGACAAACTTGTAGTAGTACTTACATCATATTGGTCCCTGACAAGTTCAACAACGTTGGCTGAATCATTCGATAGTGTGCCAGCAGATGCTCCTTCCACATGCTCGCGAAGGCGCTCGTAAACAGCAATTTGCTCAGCAGTCACGGCAAAAATCACATTGATAGCATTCTGCTTGACCTTCAGATTAATCTGAGAAATACTAGGATAATCTTGAACTGTGGAATGTGTGTACATTCCGCGGCCGTCCATGTGACAGTAGCCATCATTGGGCTTGACAATGCCTCCCAGCTAGAAAGAGGTCAACACAGACTTGATCAGTGAAAACAGAAAAAATATCGTCATCATTAGAGTAACAATAAGAAATAAGACGAAAAACTTACCTTGCCATCACCAGCATAATGAAAACCAGCGTCGGTTGAGAAAACCAGCAAACGACGAGCTTTTTCTCTCCAGCCAATCTGTTCCCGGCAGACTACAGCTTGCATGATGGCATCAAAACCACCTTCTGGGGCATCAAGATTTCCTGAGACAGCAGCCCTTGCTACCTCTTCCTATAATTTGAGGGAAAGAAAATCAAGTTATTAAATGTTCTTGCAGTATCAAGGTTAAATCATGATGTTAATTATCGTGCACAATTATAATTTAAACCACAACACAACCCACAACCCCAAAAGCAAAAAATATTTCAATAAAATAATCATGCAAGTGCAGCACACAGAAAGGAATGCAATAGTTGGTGAGCATGCAGTATGCCTACACATTCCAAAATGAAAAAAAAAAAAAAAACAGTCAGTACCAGCACCGCTTGTATTGACAATGATGCAATACAGTTACGAGAATTATAAGTAATTTCCATTCCAGTTTCCCACGCCCTCCCTCCCTTTTTCTTGTTGTGATTAGTTCCTACCCTTTAAAGATTTCCTTAATGAGGGAAATTTGATATTACCTGCATTTGTCAACAGCCTTATGTACATATGCAAAGCAGATTAAATTCTTATTCACTGTCTCTAGCAGTCGTGTTAAGCTCATAAAATTTAGGGAAAGGACAATACATTAAAAAATGCTTCAGTCAAATGGTTAAAAATAAAAAAATTAACAAAAAACCTTTACAAAATAGGTAATTGTTGGCAAGTGAAAAGCAACATGGGTTTTAGGTTTAGGGCCCGCTTCTTTGTTTTTTAAGGGTTACACACATCCTAGCACAACACACTTACAGCAAATCTACTGGTGTCTGTGTTGAGGGACATGACATTGTGGAAGCCATAGGGGGCAGCACAACCGGTACATGGTTCACGTAGACTGGTGAACAGCAGACACAATTTATATCAAAACCATTGCAATTAGTACTTCTGATTTCATTTCCCCCTCTTCAAGGCAAACAAGACTTTGACAAAAAAAAATATTAAAGGAGACAAGATTGAAAAACCAGGAATTGCCACAGTGGTAATTAAGCAGCAAATGCCTTAGTCATAAACAATGATGAAGACTAAACACAAACAAAGAGATGAAGGATCAGCACCATAAGAGACAGGAAACACCTGAAAAGACATGTATATTAAACAACAAATAGCACTTATCTTCTGACCAAATATGCATTACCACATTCAACATCACAGCATGCAAGCCCTGGCCAGACAACCTAAGCAAACACCATCTGTTCACCTATCAAATAAGAAGGCTTACATAGAACTGTTGAATTTTAATGCCCACCATGCAAGACAGGCAACACCAGAGCAAAGGCACAGGCACAAGAAATTCACCAACCCAGGCGCCATGTCAGGCAACAGTGACATTCTTTCATGCTTTGAAAATAAATGATGTGCAAGAGGAACAGATGCTTTATAAGAAAACTTTATGAAAATTAAAAGTAAAGTTGAAAATAAAATACTTATGACCAAAAATGAAAAATAAAAAGAGATACAGCTAAAGAAATTAGAAACACTGTATTTGTGGGAATGGAAATGTAACCAGGAAGCAGATAGGAAAACAAATTGATGAACCAAATAGTGAGAAATCTGATGGATCTCAAATCATAAAATAATCAAAAAAATGTAGAGAATTAGCTGTTCTGATTTTATGCTTGTCAATAATCAAGTTAATCTATTATTCTTCATGTTGCATTTTTTACTGGTGCAATATGTACTGCATTTTTTTCTGACCTGGTTCAAATGTAATGTAGTATAACCATCAGCTGATTCCATTATAATAATAATAATTTTACGGAGTGCAAAAGGGAATCAAGAAATGAGGTTGAAGAGCTAGATTACCAGATGGACTTGGTTGTGTCTATTGCAGATCAAAGTCAACAAATTTTCAGATACATAACTATAAAGACTTCTGTCCTCCTTTGCATCAGAAATCGACAGGTAAAGAAGAAGTTGACAATGCTATCACATTTTTAGGCAACAATTCTGCATTAAGTTAGATGACCCAGCACAGAAATGCATGATTGGGGTCAGTACAACTTACGGAGAACTTTTGAGTGTTTTCATTCAGCGCCATGTGGTTGCGGAATCCATAAGGAGCCTGACAGCTATCACAGGGCTCTTTAAGCCTGGTGTGAAAATTAGGGTTAGTAAGGAACAAAGAATGAATTAATGCTGTCACACCAGGTCACAGTAGTACAACCAACCCAGATTACAAGCAAGTATTCACTTCAAACAGTATTACATGAAGATGAGAGGGTAGTAAATTAAGTAGCCTGTTTTTGAAACATTTGTAAACCAAGATGTGAAAATGGGTTAAGATGAATCGAATGAGCGATGAGATTATACCTAAGGATCTACAGGAAAATAAAGTTGTAAGTACTTCTTAAGGTACCTGGCCAAAGTGTGCACCTAAAAAACCACCAAAATGGTGAAAAAAAATAAGTGCAGAAAAAACTTTTAAGGAATAGCAAACGGTGCTAATAACACCAAAAAATTAAAATCAAACTTTTAAAATGATAATAATAATACACATCTAGAATGCAAGTAGATCTGTAATGACCAGGATTTTACCACAAAACTACAAAAAGGGACGGTGACAAATCACTCATTACACAAGATTCTAGGCAACACAGTGGGGAGCGATCTGAACTACCAAGTCACATTACAGAGGGAAAACATTTCACATGCTCCCTCTAACATTGAAGAAAAGCAATGGTGTCATCCATGCATTGGTTTGGTTATCCCTCAGAAAGGATGGAAAAGGGCCATTTCGAACTGAAATTAGCAAATGAACAAACTGTGCCACTTACTTTTTGGGTACTGTGCTCACATAGGGCATAACAGTCTTGTCAACAAAACTGCCAAAGCCAAGGCGGAAGTTGGAAGTGATGTTCCGCATGGTTTGTGCAAGCAAATTGCCCAAACCTGACAGCTTTTCTTTGTCATCCTCCATCGACTTTGAGAGATCCATCAAGTAGTAAAGATCAACTGGATAGTCCTCTGCTTGAGCGTATTGAAGAGACAACCGGTATTTTTCATCTGAAAATAAAAAAAAAATTACATAGAGTAAATTAAGTATCAAATTGAAAGAATCTATAAAAGGACACATTCCCAAAATTGGCTGAAATTTAAAAAAAAAATACTAGAGCATGGACGCAAAACCCTCTCACTACTTACTTATCCGCAGCTTGAGGTTGACATGTTGCGGAGCCACCTGAACTGCCTCTTTGAAACCGCCATCATAACCACTGCCCGACTCCTGGTGACTCGTGCTCTGATAGCTCGATCCCGAAATGTAGCCGCTCTCTTTGCTGGCCTTCGAGAGGGCCTCATTCCTCTCGACGGTGTACTCGTTCGGGGGGTTGATGGTGAACTTCTCATCGCACTGCCGGTTCGCGTCCACGTTGCTGGGCTGGAAGCACCTCTTCCGGTCGCCGTAGTCCTTGAAAGAGACGAACACGCCAAGTGAGGGACAAACACGTTCGGCACTGGGAACGGGGAACGCACACCGCAAACAGACCCATTCCGAGAGTCGTTGTCGCCGCTCTGTCTCTCTCGCACTCAAAGGGGACGCCCATGAATGCGAGAGAGACAGCGACGAAAACGACTCGGGGCACCTCGCTTGGGCGCTTACCCGCTGCGAGCACCAGGCGCACGTCGATGTCTGTATGCAGTCGTGGCACGTCATCTTGGAGCTGCACGGATTTTGGAGGAGCCTTTCCGAGGCCTGGCTCTTGCCCGTCTGGGCCGCGACCGCGAGGGCGAGGCCCAGCAGGCACGCCGCCACCAGCAACCACCGCGGGCACATCCTGCGGACAACGGAACACAGCGGTCAGCTAGATCAGGCGCCGATCCAGCGGGGCAAAAGGACAGTGGACCCCCTTGCCCCCCAAGTACATAGCCGCCTGAGAGTGGACAAGAAGCCACACTTTGCCCCTGGAAGTAGGCAAAGAGCGCTACTTCACCCTCCCTCAGGCCGGGCTCTGGATCCGCCACTGGATCAGATGAGACGAACTGAAAAATGGAGCGTGAAACAAGGAAAAGACGTGGGAGAGGCCGAGCCTTATGTCCTTTCCACGGGGATGGGTCATCAAACCACCACACTGGGCACCTGCTGCACTGCCTGGACAGCACAGAGGGCATCGACACTTTTCGACACGCGTTCAAACCCAACGAGAAGGTCCAGCCTGGCCAGTCATTCCCCCGGGCCGCCACCGCATTCCGCGCTGGCGCGCTGGCCTAGGCGGCGCCGCCACACCGCACAGCACCGCGGCCACCTGTCCGCGTCGCCACGGCGTGCACGGCGTCGCCGCGGACCGCGATTGGCAGGCGGGAGCAGCGGGAGCAGCGAGGAGCGGTAGCGGGGCGGGGGCCGCCTGACTAGCCGGCTGGCTACCAAGGCCTGCCAAGGCCGGGAAGCGGTGCTGCGACATGACATACATGGTCAACGCCACGCCGAGCGCCGCGCCGCCGTCTTTGGGGTCTCGGCCAGGGGAGCGGGGCAGGGGCGGGGATTGTTCTGCTTCGCGCCCGGCCCGGCCCGGCCAGCACACCGATTCCGAACAGTGCTTATGTCGCACTGTGTCTCTCGCACTCCTAGGGCGGTGCGGTGCGTTGCGGTGAGAGACAGAGCGACGAAGCGGTGTTCGGCATCAGCCTGCGAGATCGGCGACGACGTCCGCGGCCGTCCCGCTTCGAGACTCCAGCCTGGAGTCCAGCCATGGCAGCTGCGGCCCGCAGGCGCCGTGGTGTACGCCGGCGTGCCGGCTCGCGCTGGGACTTCCCTGGACTTCCCCTGCGTGTCGCGCGCGTGCCGCCGCGGTGCCAAATCCACGCGGTGATTAGCACCGCCCCGCCCCGCCCCGCCCACCGGGTGGGCTCGCGCTGCTCGCGCCTCGCCATTCATCCGCGCCGCCATTCATGCGTGCCCCCCACCACCGCCGGGCCACCACCGCCACCGTGGGCACGCCACACGGGGACACGGACACACACGGCGGGGCGGGGCGGGGCGGGGCGGGGCGGGGCGAGGGTCAAGGAGTGCGGTATACTGTACCGGTGCACGACGGGTTGGGCGGCCACTGAGTCAGTGCGAGCTAGCTTCTGAGAACCGTGGCGCACCGCGGCGTGCCAAGCAGTCACATCCGGCCAGCAGGCAGGCGGCAGGCTGCAGCAGGCGGCAGGCTGCAGGACTCTCGGCTCGGCCAGGCCCGGCCGCGAGCTTGCAGTCTGCACCACTTGGAACACCTCGCGTGTGGTGTGTGTGTGTGTGCGCGCACACAGTCAAGAGAGAGAACGGCCCCAAGAGCGGCACGCATCTCCACTGAGTGCACCACGCGGTTCGTTCCCGCCCCACCCCGCGCCGCGCCGTGCCGCCCACACGAGACGCTGCGCCCAGCCGAGCGAGCGGCTAGACGCCTTGCCGGCTTGCCGTGCTCACGCCCACACGCGCCAGCGGAGCCGGACCAGACCAGCCGCCCCACTACACCGGGCCGACCGCTGCGGCCGCAGCCATGCCGCAGCCATGCCGCAGCCATGCCAGGCTCCAGGCCTGGAGTCCAGGCTCCAGCGGCACGCGGCACGCATCCGGCCGGCGAGGCCCGGCCAGGCCCCAATGCACGCTTTTAGCTGGACACCACACTGCCAAGGCTCCTGGAAAAGGTCCAACGAGTCTCCAGGCGCAAGGCCCCAGCTGCGGCAGTCCATCCAGTGTTCTAGCTGGAGTCCAGCACCGTTCTAGAGGGCTTTCAACACGATTAGGGCACGATTGCCTGCGGCTTGGGTTCACGTTCACGAGGTTGGTCCAGCCAGGCGGCCGCAGAAGACGACGCCCCGCGGTCCGGGCGCCGTGGCCCCGCGACCCGACCGAGCCGAACCGAGGCGCAGCGCGGGGAGACATAAACGCGGCGATCAAACCTCGTATCGACAACGCCATTTCACGACGCAGCTGCGCTCCAGATAGCGCTGCAGCACCGCGGCAGTCAGCGTGGCGAGGCGCGGCGTGGCGTGGCGTGGCGCGGTGCTATCGCAGCAGCCCCCCGCCAAGGGTCACCGCGTTCTCGGACTTCCCCCGCCGACGCCGCCGGCCGGCGGGGAGGCGTCCCACGGCGTCTTCGTCGTCCACGCGATGCAAGGGCGTGGCGGCCCGGCCGACCGGAAGTCCAGAAAGGGGGAGGGGGAGGGGCGGCAGGGGAAGGGGAGCTTCCAGGGCGCGTCCAGCAGGGCGTGGTCCGTCCACAGGGCAATCAATACTATACCGTATCGCCGAGGCACACCACGCCACGCCACGCCACGCCGCGCGCCTTGCGACCCAATCCAGACGCTCCAGTCGCGCCATATTCGGCGCCAATTTGAAAATCCGCACCGTTCCAAACGCCGCGCGCTTCGCCTGCTGGCTCCGGCGCGCAACAGCCGCACTGCATTCCGACACTGGAAGACTGGCGGGCGTCACGGGCCGCCGCCTTCGGGCTCCTTCGGGCCTGCGCCTTGGCCTCCATCTCCATCAACGCGACACGACGTGTGGCTGCAGACTGGGGGGGTTCGTTTTCGTCGCCCCGTCTCTCTCGCACTCACAGACCGCGCCGTGCAGGTGCGAGGGAGACAGAGCGACGAAAACGACTCTCAGTGTGCCGGGAGTGGCAGGGAGGCGGGGAGCCCTGCGTAAACAGCGTGGCACTGGGGGGGCACTGCGGCCCCGGCAGCGCGGCACGCCTTGACTAGCCTAGGCACGCCGCGGCGCGCCGGCACCCTGGGTAAACACCGCGCCGACAGCTGTACAGCCGCGTTTGGGCGTTAGGGGGAGGCAGCAGACTGATTCCGAGAGCCGTTTTCGTCGCTCCGTCTCTCTCGCACTCGTGGGGCGTCCCGTCTAGGTGCGATAGAGACAGAGCGACGAAAGGACTCTCGAAATCAGTCTAGCGAGCTCCACGGCGGCGCAGGACGCAGGACCGCCGCATCCTCGCTGCTCGCCGCACGCGTCCCGTCCTGTCCTTCCACAAAGCTGGTCGCCCTTTACGGGCGCGCGGCGTGGCCAACGACCCCGTGAGGCTGCAGCGCCGGCAAAGGCAGCCGCCTCGCTCCGCGGGATCGTTCCGCCGATCTCTCCCTCTTGCACCCCTGCGGGACGCCCCGCGAGTGCGAGAGAGACAGAGTGACGAACGAAAGAGATCCTTCGGAACCGGGCCGCAGGGCAGATAGAGCCAGGCCAGCACGCCAGAGGCCGAGAGGCAAGCGCGCCAACGACGCCAGCCACAGACACACAGTGCTAGCAGTCAAGATGCTGCCCGCAGGTTTGTCTACACTGAAAACCAAACCAGGTCTGTCGTTCGCAGACCGCCTGGGAGGAGGGACGCCCGACGCCCCCTTGTTGTGCAGGTCACGGCGGATGAGTGACAGCATGTATTGGCTCGTCTGCTTAGTCTAGGAGCGCGCGGCGGGCGTCGCTGTTCACGCCCAGTGCAGTCAACCCTGCCCCGAGCGCTGTCCGTTGCGTAACGAGCGACGGTCGCGAGGATAGGACTACAGAGTGCCGGCTCGCGCTGGGACTTCCCTGGACTCCCCCGAGCCCTCCGCTGCGGGTCGCGCGAGCCGCCGATCCTCCCAGTCCTTCTCCAGGTGTCCGACGACGAGGAGATCTTGGAGGATCAGGAGGATCTAGAGGATCTGGAGGATCTGGAGGATCTGGAGGATCTGGAGGATCTGGAGGATCTGGAGGATCTGGAGGATCTGGAGGATCTGGAGGATCTGGAGGACCTGGAGGATCTGGGACCAGAAGGGCCTTCAGAAGGACTGGGAGGACCGCGAGGAGGGCCTGAAGGACGCCCTAGAAGGCCTAACGACACATAAGGGTGCGAGCGAGACAGAGCGACCACAGCTCCGTTCAAAGACGAACTACTGGAGAACCTGGAAGGCCTGGAGCGTGCGGCTTCCTGGCCGAGTGGGCGGTGATGTCACAGCCACAGCCCCTCGGCCCCGCAGAGCTGAGCCTGGCCGAGCCACGCCGCTACTCGTGCCTGGGCATGCCTGGGTTGAGCTGAGGTCAGTGCGAAACGACGCACGGCCGGCAGGGCGCAGGCGCGGGTAGCGACAGCACAGCACAGCCGGCCACACCGAAAATAACACGCGTGCTCGCGGCACGGCCGGCTGCCCAGGCGCCGCAAGGCCGCGGGTTCAACTCCCGCTGCGTCCACCACGAGGGAGTTTTTTTGTGGTTCCAAATCGTCGCTGTGCTTGGTGCACCGCCCACACGGACTGCAGTCCTGCATGCAGGGCCGGCAGACTGATTCCGAGCGTCGTTTTCGTCGCTCTGTCTCTCTCGCACCACAAACCGATCTTCTGAATCGGTCGGCAGGCTGATTCGGAACCGGTGCTTTGCAGCTGTCTCTCTCGCACCCGCACTCCTAGTGGCCTGCGGCCCGCTGCAGCATCAGCCTGCAGCCGGCCCTGCAGCAGCACGGCCAGCTTGTCGGGCACGCGGCGACTCGGCCGAGTAGTGCGTGGGCAGCGCGGGCAGTGCGGGGAGGCGCGGGGAGGGAGGGACAGGTTGCCCACTAATACATGCAGGTGAGGGCGGGGCGGGCGGGGCGGGGCGGGGCTTTGCGTGGGCACACCACTCCGCCGCGCCGCCGCCGTGGATGTGCGCTGGCGGGGCCGTAGGCCGTAGGCAGCCCAGGCCGCCCGGCCGGGACGGTCTTCCCGGGCGCCCAAATGTACGGCATCGTGCTCGTACAGACCGTCCAAAGCCTCCTCAAGTTCAGCCTCCACCGCCTGTAGGGGGACGCCCATGGGTGCGGGAGAGACAGAGCGACGAGAACGGCTCTCGGAATCAGTCTGCAGAGACGCAGTCGGAGCATCGGCCCATCCTTTGTCCCGCGGGCTGCATCGCCGCGAGGCGACGCCCTGGCGATAAGCCTAGCCGGAAGAAACGGAACGGGGCGCTCCTCTGAGTCAGGGCGGGGCGGGGCGGGGCGGGGGCGCGGGGGTGTTGGTGCTGTTGCGGTGCGTTGCCGGGCTGGCAGGCAGGCAGGCGGGGGTCTTGTGGGAAGGAAGCTCGAAATAGCGTCTGTCGCTGACTCGGCGGCGCGACGGCCCTCGACGGCCCTGCCCCACAACGAGTAGGCCGTCGTGGCGAGGCGTGGCGCAGCGTGGCGCAGCCGTGCGGCCCTTGGGGACCAACGCGCTCAAAGGGCCTAAAGGGCCCAGCGCCACGCACTGCTTTCAAAGGGCAGCGGACTGCACGCAGCCAGCGCGGCCGCAGGGCCGGCCGAAGGGCTGCGTGTGTTCACTGCGATGGCCCCCGCCGACGACGCCCTTCCACGTTAGGGCGCAAAGGGCGCTTCGCTTCGGGCGGCGACAATGTAAGTGCTCCCGACGGCGGAGGGAAGGGAGGGCGTGGGGAAAGGTCGTGCCGGGTGGGGGAGGGGGAGGGCGGTACATTCATCAGCCCTGAGGACGGCGACGTCCGACGGCCGGGCCTTCCCCTTCGTCGGTGTCCCCGCCGTCACCCAGCCCGGGGAAATGGGTGACCAGAGCAAGGGCGTGAGGGGGCGGGGGCGTCCGCCGTCGGCCCCAGGCCCCACCAGGACTACCTGACGGGCCATTCCGAAGAGCAGTTCCGTTGTTCTGTCTCTCCCGCACCCGTTCGCGACGCCCCACGAGTGCGAGAGAGACGGAGCGACAAAACGAATCTTCGGAATCAGTCTGCAGGGCTCGGCGAACTGGACTGGCGCCAGGCAGTCAAGCCGCACGGCCCTCGTGGCGTGGCGTCCGCCCTGCAGACTCATTCCGAACAGTCTTTTCGTCGCTCTGTCTCTCTCGCACGTATGAGGGACGCCCCGTGAGTGCGACAGAGACAGAGCGACAGAAAGGACTCTCGGAATGAGTCTGCTGTCCGGCCTGGCCGCCGCCGCCCCCGCCAAACCCGCGGGCAGCCCTGGCCGCCCTGGCCCTCCTCAGGATGCCCTCCCCATCCTCATGCAGGCCGGCTGGCTGGAGGGTGGGAGGGAGGGAGAGCCTAGTGGGGACGAGGGGCAAGAAAAGGGTTAATGACATGAGCAAAGCACGGTGCACAGTGTGCACTTGCAGGGAGTAAATAGATAATTACGGCAAAGTGGCAGTCCATGCATGACATCCGTTGGTTACAGTGGACAATTCAAACCAAAGTAGCGGTACCGACATAGAAGAAGTACACTAGGGTGAAAAAAAGACGGAAAGGGGAAAGATGGATAGATATTCAACGGCAAAGCTCTTGCACACCCACACACAGGTTGAAATGGTTACGGCAGCTTACTCGAGAGCCAGAGAAAATAGCAGAATCATTACTTGCGATCTAAGTACTTCAAACGAAGAAAAGGACATTAAGATTACTATTTTTTAAAGTTGAGCAGTGAATAATTGGACAGAGGCTCAACAATACCCATGTACACAAAGTGCAGCAAAGGACTGGCTCCTTGAGACCCCGAAAAAGGGCCACTTGAAATTAAAATCAGAACAACTGGGATGTCCAATGATTAATTTCAATCTTGCAGATGCATAGAGAAACGTTTCTCAGAGTGAAACGAACAGGGACTCAAAGAAAAACTTATTTATTCCAGCAGATGTGCCTCACACGTAGGTTATGTGCTGACAAGAGAAGTGTTTCGCAGACGTTAGGTGTCATAATAAGAACATGTGATTCAGTTAGCGGTCGACCATCTTCATAAATGTGAAAACTGTCATCACTTTGACACAAGATCATTGTTGATAACCATCCCAAAAACACTCAACAACAGTATCCTATTACATCCTCGCAGATCAGTCCGCAGGAAGTTTTCATGGAATTATAATGAATCGGGAATCGAAGAAGAATGACTTACCCTGTATTTCGATAATTTATCCTTAACAGCATAACTATGAAGCACTGTAAACGCACAAAACAAACATAACAACTAAAATCCGCACATAACGCCGAAAAAGGCAACTCCGACAACACCTTTCAAGCCGAGTTTCGTCCACCAACTGGCATGACGTCATGTTTCATTGAGGTGCAGACACTTCTCCGACTGTTTCAAAGGCGGTGCAATACAACGCAGTTGTACCAACAAACCCTCGCTGCACTATTCCTTCTAAAGAAAGGGCTCACGTGTCAAACTCAGGCACAGAAATCATGAAATAATCAAATAAGAGGCAATGTTGTAGAATTACTCGGTTGGCGAGTGTCTGAGAGTAGAAGACAGGGCTGAGGAGCTCCACGGTTGGAGGGGGTGGTTGGCAGTATCGTGTGCACCGGGACCGGAAATCAGCTGAGTGCTGGGGGGCGTGGGACCATTTGAATTGGCGGGGAAGTGTCAACCTCACGTCAGCCAGACTTGCAACGTGAAAAGACGAGTGGGTGAGTACCTCCAGGTCCAAGTCTTCCCAACAGACTGCGAAAGAATGCACAAAACGAATTGAATGAATAAAACAGATTGTTTATTTATTTTCACTACCTTTTTTCCACAGACAAATACAACAGAATACATTCCATTCATAAACAGGTTTACTTTTAAAGTATTCCCCCTTTCCAGGAGGTGTGTCAAGTGAGTGCGTGCCATGCAGCAGAGCCATGCAGCACACAGTATGAATAAATATCTGAAATACCGATAAGTTGCACACACATTTAAGTTTATAACATTTTCACAAAGGTAGACTTTGAATTTGAAATATATAATATTTAGTTTCAAAAACTCAAAAGAGAACAGCAAAAATATTCTCAAGAAGGGCAAAATAGAGAGAACCCTGTAGAAATTTTACATGAGTGAGCCAAAGTTGCACATTGACATTGCTTACATACACATCAAGGATATTCAATGACCTGTGCAAAATGTTTCCTGGAGGGTTGGTTTTAAATACTGGTGTGTGTTCGGAAACACACTGGGTCAAAATGGTTCCAAAGAAAGCAGTCAATAAGAAATGAAGGGGAGAAAAAATGTTAGAAGATTCCTTTAAGGAAACATTGGCTCCCACTGATGCTGCAAAAATTGAAATGTAAACATGCAAAAGTAATCCAGCTAATGGAAATTATTTTTACTACAAACTACTCATGTTGAAATAAGAGATTTGTAATACATCAAGGAAACAGAAGCAGATAGTACACCTAAGCAACATTTCTACAGAGTCAAGCGCTCAAATACTTTACCATCATGGAAAAGCGCTCAAATACTTTACCATCATGGAAAGATTACTTTAAAACGAATAAAGAAGGAGCAACAAATCACACTAATGAAATTTTAGGGGTTGATGTGGTTCATTATCCAGACAAAAAAATAAAGTCAGAACTTAGGTAGAATTTCAAAGAATATGGTACGTCCTAAAAGTGCAGCGCAACATTTTTCCTAATAAATTTTCAATGATATGGTCTAAACGTTGTACTAAAGGAAAAACTACAACAACAAAAAAATCACAGTGGTATCACTGCTACTAAGTAATTTACATTTGACTAGTCATTTACATTTCAATGCTACCACACACAGAATAAATGAGACTTCTTATTCACAAAAGGAAAATCAGAAATAAACATTCAATCACCTCAGTTAGAATAAATTCAGGGTACTCTTCTGGTGAGAATTAATGGCAGAATCAAGAAGTTTCACAATACACAATACCTCACATCTTCATATCTGATTTCAACCTATTTCATGGTTACTTGTAAACTATAACTACATCACAGCCATTGCTTGTCTGTTTACTCATTGTTGCATCTCTGACTCAATTCAGATTTGAATTGCTAGATAAAAATAAAAATAATTCCACACAGTTTCCTAATGCAGCATAATCCCGCTCTGGTGATTAATCCGCGTCTAACTTCTACACAAGCACAGGCTACATCAATATACTCCAACACAGCACACAACAAAAAAATGATAATTTGATTTGAAGATTTTCCCTTTGTTCAGCATCACATTGGATAATACATGAGAAACATACAAACAAACAAACAAACACTACCAAGTAATTATTAACTCAAATTAAGAACAAAGAGAAACAATAACTTAATTTAAGAGGAAGAGGCTGCTCATTCATCTCACCTACACAGTTAAATAGATAAGACTTAAAACTAAAGCAGTATGACACGGAAGGGACAATAAATGCTCTTCTACTTCAAGAAAGATTTTCTTTCTCTCCCCAAACCGTTGACAGTATATGAGCCAATAATGAGCACTTAACAGGACAAAATTTGGAAAGGATTTTGCAATATTTTACAGCACAGTGATGAAAAGGCTGGTGCATGTCTTACAGGGCACGTCAAAATGCCAAAACTGTGAAGAGAAAGTGTAGATTGTATATGAAGAAAGAGTTACAGGATAAATTTGGCCCAACATCAATATCAAATAGTAGTGTTTGAAATCTGAGCAAGCAGTATTACATATGCCAACAAATGCACTGGTCACAAAACTACAAATCTTGTGTTTGAACATTCAAGCACCTCAGTCATAAAAATATAAACCCCATTTCCTATCTTTATAGGTTTTCACACATGGTTGATTTTTTTTTGTTTTGTTCCTTTTTTTGTTTTAAAATATGTGACAGCAAAATAAGAGTATAAACTATACATTTTTTCTTGTTTTCTTTCAGTTTGTTTTTGTTGGTTTTACTGCATTGGCAAATCTAAATAGAATCAAGATTACATTTTGATGGCACAAAATTACACATGGACTGGCAACATAAATAGTGAGAAGTCAATAATGCCTTACTTGAGATTAAGTGCCTTAATTTCTTAATGCACAGAAAAGACATGTATAGGCTACTCCTCATACTTGTCACACAACCAAAAGCACCAAACTAGGAGTTCTCAAATAAAAAGCCAACCCCAAGGTTAACATGTTTTCCCAGTGATATTATTCACAGAAGGAATAAAAACAAAAGCAGTGGTTGAAACAAAACAAAGTGCTTCCTGTGGTGGCACTGAAAAATAAGCTTGGGGCAGAAAGGGATGACCAGTAACTTTTTAAGTGTAATAGTCAAGAGTGAACAAATGTTAAACAAAATAAAGATTTTAAATTTGCACCTGATAAGATAGAAAAATAATTTAAAGAATGTCTGAAGAAGGAAGCTTTGCTAGGTTATCATGAGATTTGGGTACTGTGCACAATGTAAAGAGTCCCATCCACAGGAAATGAAAACATGACACTCAATGACCGAAATCACAAGCATGTAAAAATTAGTTTTAAACACATCAAACAGTAAGGTGCACAGTGACATCTCAGATTCCACTGGAATATAAAAAAGATAAAGCACAGCAACTAGGATGTAGTTATTTGGAATCAGTGCGCAGTCTATCACAGAACTTAGATCTCTCCTTCTAGGGACAAGCAAGACAAAAAATTAACCTTGTTCCATCATGGAGTACAGCAAAGGAGTATTTACAAAAACCAATGCTGATGTGGGTGGGTAGTAAGCCAAAAGGCAGACAGAATCATTTTTTCAAATGGAAAATGCTTTCTAATAAAACACAGGCTATCGGTGATAAAAGCAAACAAAAATGATCACATTATTTCCATTGTCATCAACTAAAAGCAATGTACATTATTCACATTTGAAGCAGTCCTAAGGAAAAACATACTCACAAAACAAAGTGGAAGAAAACCTGTGGTTATTGTCATCATTAAGTTTAGTTGAATCAAAGTGCAAAACATGTAAAGCGGTAGTTTCATTGGATTGGAATGCCATCATACGATAGGCGATCCATTCACATCACACTGCTTAAATAGAAACAATCAAAACATTCTCTTCCTTATTTGATAAATCTATAAAACTTAAAGCTTCCCTTTTTTTTAAATATCTTTTGTGAAACCATGTAAGAATGGTACAGAAGCAATCCACTGGTTATCTGGATTCAAAAAAGAAAACTTGAAAAGTCACCTCACAATCACTTTAGTGGTACATTGTATTGTATTGGTTTTCTATTTTATAACATTTTTTTCTGAGGTTTTTAAGTTAATTTCTTACATTACACTTGTATATCTGCTTCAGTTTAGAAAAGAAAAAGACAATCTGTTGAATGCTTGGCTTGGATGTAAAATGTTATTGGTAATAATGACATGAGGATCTACTCCCCACAAATTTCATAAGATACAAGTGTTTGAAAGATTTAAACATGCATTTAGGACATACAAAATTTTTCCAGCTAAAATTAAAAGGAGTTACACTAAAACTGTAGATTGCATTACCAAGCAGAAACCACTTAGCCATTAAGTAAAATTAAAAACTAGTTTAAGTGCAATGTAAGCAGGCTCATTCAAACACAATTACCGCTTATCAACTTGGGGAAAAGGTAAAATAAAATAACAGCTAATGATATGAAATAGAATTAATTCCATATCATTTCATCACAGGTAAAATGAAAAGAGAGACTAAATAACAACTGCAATTCTACTACAAGGTAATGTTTTTAAATAAATTATGAATGGACTCGAGCGTAAAGTACCATGGGCTTGAAAGCGGTAATGCAACACAAACAGTAAGCAATAAGAACTGACTTAAAGCCTGCACTCATTTACAAGTGACTCTACATGGTTGCTCAAGTGTGTTACAAGTTTGCAAACTCATCCTGAGAGATCATTTCAAAACCATCAGTGTCCGAAAAAGAGTCATCTTCTTCTACTTCTTCCTTAACAGGAACAGAGCGAGTACTCTGGGCTGGTTTACTGCTTATGACAGATGATATGAGACTTTGTCCCATTGAAGCACCAAGTGAAGCAAGGTTGAGTGCCCCAGCTGAGGAGTAGGAAAGCACAGCTGCAGCAGCATCGGCCACAGACCCAGAGGAACTCTTTCTGGGAACTTCCATGGGCCTCTGAAAAAAAATTTTGGATTGAATATCGTGTTATTGGCTGTGACCACGGCCCCAAAACAAGCTAGCATGGAAAATAAATAGATAATACATACCTTATTTCTGGGCGGTCCGCTCTCTTCCTCAGAGGAGCTCTCTCTTTTAAAGTGGCGGGTTTGGAAATGAATCCCAACATTTTCATTTTCTGGCAGTGAAATACTTTCATCACTATCAGAACTGTTAGTATCTACATTCATTGATGATGAAGTATGATTCTTTCTTTTGGTTTGGTGAGCTAAAGGCGACGCCTTCTTTTCAGTTACCTGCAGAAAATAAAGAAAACATTCATAGTACAGTTTGTAATAATAATAGTAAATCTCACATAGGGCACATATTAATAAATGAGGAGTTAATCTTACCGGAATCTCAAAACTGAAGTCAGTGCCATCCAGACTAAGGTCCTCTGGGGCTGGCATGGCAGTGATTCCACTAATAAAAGTAAGTGACGGGGCTGGGGAATAAGAGTATTGAAATTAGCTTGAAGCATAATCATGACAGCATACACTTTACCCGAGGGTGATGTATATTGGACACCTGTTTGAGAAGGATGGAGGGGGTACGGGAGGGAACTTGAAGGAGATTAGGAAAGATGCCTTTTGGTTGAAACAGGAACAACAAAGGGGTAGTTCTGTTGAATAAGTACGGCAGACATTTTTAATTGGAATTCCATTGATAAGTTGATTGAGTATTCATTTGTAACAGTAAAGGATTGGGCCCACATTGGATAACCTACTGTACGCAATAATGAAGAAGAGGATAGGGTAAACTCCTCTCTTTCTAAACCTAACACTTTTGAAAACAGCCTTGAAGAATAGTGAATAAAACCTTCATCTCCCCCCCAACAATTTATCAATGATATTCTTTTATGTTTCTTCATAGACCTATTTTTAAAAAATAAATTCATAATTTAAGTTACTTACCGCCTGAGTCAGTCATGTCCTCCACATGAAGCAATTCAGCTGGAGGAATATTGAAGTCATCTTCATCCTCGTGGTCCGAGTGGTCTGGCTCAACAGCTTTTTCAAGAAGCACCATATTTGAGCCGGTCTGTTCCGGTAAGTATTCATCCACATCATCACCTGCATTATCTACAAGGGGGAAAAAAATACTTTACAAATATACCTAATCCATCAAAATTTTGTCAGCAGGTAACTGTAGAAGCTGAAGAATTGCACATTTATTTACCCTTTGATCCCAGCAAGCGGCTCTGCCAGTCCACTTGAGAGGCAGTGGGCAAGACGTGAATGCAGATTCCAGGGATCATTAATAGAGACATGCAGATGATGTAAAGTAAGGTTGTTCCAGAGATAGATCGCCCAATCCACATGAGGATGAGGCATCCAATGGACATAAGACCACAAAACTAAGAAAAAATTAAAAATATGTTTGAATTATTCATGTTCTGCATAGCAATCACTTTCAAAATCATTTCAAAAGAGATTGACAGACTTACCATCCCTGGCTGCTCATTTCTTAAACTATGAAGCCATAAATATTGATTGTGAACAAACTGCATAGCTTTGTTCAAGTAGTGACTGAGCTCAGGAGCACTCAGCACACTGAAATGAATAACAGAACCAAATGAGCGATGTTGAAGACATTCCTCAACCACACCGTAAAACTATAAATAGCACTACAAGAAGTATCAAATTTTTCTCACCCAGGGTGAAGAGGTGTCCATCCTTCGTTGTCCCCCTGCTCTGCAGGCTGGGGAACACGAATTTCAGGCCACACTTTGTCAACCCACATTTCAATAACCACCACAACCAATGTGGTAGTGAAGAGCAGGAAGTAAAACCTGAAGTCTAAACTAACAACGAACCTGTATAAAACAGCAAAGGCAAAATGTCAAAACAAGGCAAGGTTTGGGGAATTAAATGGAAACGGTTTCTTTCATCTTGATTCAGAGTGTCTCCGTCGAAGAAGTCATTCAACAAATCTCTATTTTCAACAACAACAATATGGTCTCTACAATGCACTGAAGCACCCTACAAACATACTGCTACAGATGTTAATTTCAAAGTATGGGAGCACAGTAGACAAAGTCATGAACTTAAAGTAACTTATGAAAACACTACAAGAACTGGGACAAATTTCTTTTACAACCCAGGCCCAAACAAACTTTTTTTCTTTGTTTACAAATAGCAATGGCCTCCTACAGGTCATATGACAACACCTAGCTACCCTTTCACAAAACTAACCTTGGAGGACACAGAATGACATCGCATTCCTGGCGAGCGCAAATGAAAACGACAGGCAGTCTCACATACCATCCACTTACCAAAACAAAAAATTGAAGATGGCATAGGCAAACAGAGTGTACGAGGTGTTCTCCCAAATGAGGATGCTCTGCAGCCAGACGACGTAGGGCTCAACTTTCCCCAAAGCTCTCGAAAGGTTTTCCTCACGAGTTGGGGGTCGCGAGGCACTCTGGTCTGGAGTCCCCCTGGCATATTTCAAGAGCTTGCCCAGCAAGCCGTTCAACACAGCCATGGTCAGTGGGCTTTCCTCTGCTGGCTCTGGGGACCAAGGCGAAGAGGAAGAGACAGACGCTTTTGCGTGTATTCATTCACCGACGCACTCAGACGACGAACACCAGCTTGATTTCGACACTGAACAGTCACTTTTCACGCGCGTGCAACTAGGCGAACAGTTCACATTGACAGGTTCATTATCCTGCGTACGCGTCTATAACATTTCACACACTGGTCTGAAGAATCATTCTCGTCATTCCACTTTTCGCGATCTCGCACACCACACAACTTATTGACAAACAAAAGCAGAACGTCGTCAGATGATTTCGCCGCTGCCGAGCAGAGAACAGTCCTCAGCGAGGCCTCGCAGTGGTGCCAACACATGCACGGCAAATAACCCTAACTCGCCGAGCCCAGGAACACTACTGGGCCCTTGGCAACGCCTAATTCAACGCAAGCTTTGAACACAAGGCCCACAGAGAAGTCCCAGCACCATCAGCATGTCGTTGAAAGGCCCCAGGCTGGCAGCTCGACTGGCGGGCCGTGGAGACTTTGGCGTTGTCACCAGCCGCTCTGACTCAGCGTTTGGTTCTCCGACAGAGACGGGACGAGGCTTCCCGTCCACCGGGCACCAGGCGCTAGGACTGGAATTCTGTACACACTAGCGACATCTCTCGGTATCGGTAAGTTATCGAGGCACATCGGTTGCGTTACCGACCACTATCGAATCTGCCATTCTGTACTCGTGCTTTACCGAGGATCGATACTGCAACCGAGAGATCCGTGACGTCAGCTCGTCGGTAGCGACTGCGTGCCTCCCCGCGTGAGGCTACGACGGCTGGGCCAATCAGCAAACGAGACATGCGGGAGTGATCAGGAATGGTGATGACGAATGCGGTTGGGCAGGTTTGAACTTGTTGAGGCGTCTGCTCTGTTTGTGTTGGAGAGAAGTCGTTGTTCGTGAGAAGTGCCCGTAGAGAAGTGTGTTAGGTTTATTGTCTTTATTTTTCTTTGGTGTATTTTGAAGTGAAAAATGTCTGCTGAATCATCTAAAAAGTAAGTAGCTCCTATATTTTGTCAGCAGCTACACACTAAATGCCCACAATTTTGTAGGTTGTGTGCACATGTGAATTCAAAGACAATTTGGCTCCTGTCTCTGTAAATACTATTTTTCTCTGTTAAGATACAATTTTGTCTTTGGATTTTGATGTGCACAAAACTGCATCTAGCAGGTACAAAAATTGTCCGCTTAGTGAGTAGAAATATTGTTTTTGAACAGAGTGCAAAGTGCACCAATTGTATCAGTTTGGATTATGATATTAACTATCTCTCCATTAAAAAATGATGCTGTAAAGTAGGAATCTATTAAAAATATGAGAAAAAGGGAAAGTGCGTCATTGTTTCTTAGAATCTAATGAATATCTCTGTAAATCAACAGGACTCGCTGCAGCAGAATCAATGCTGCTCAAACCAAGGAAATGGTGCGATACATGTGTGAGCACCCAAAGTTTGCCCGGGGAGCCCAAATGGGCTATGATGGGACCCGGACAAGGGAGGAGATGTGGGAGGAGCTTGCTGGGATCCTAAATAAGTTGGGCGGGAGGAAAGAGGTAGAGCAGTGGCAAGTGGTAAGTGTTTTTATATTAGTGTACCTTACAATATATGACCCTTAGTCGGTTTGTATTAAGAATTCATAAGTGTTTGTAACTGCACAGAGCTGGCGAGATATCAAGTCGAAGGCTACAGCAAAAGCTGCTGGGAACCGGAAGGATCGGGCAGCAACAGGGAATAAGGAGATCACCACCATACCTCTCACCGAGCTGGAGCAAAAGGTGGTGGCAATCTATGGAAAAGAGTATTCAGAGGGCAGTGCGGTGCTCGACACCCTAGTGGAAGAAAATGTAGGTTCATGAAGTATTGAAAAATAACATTCCACAACCACAATTCTCTTCCGTCCTAATTCTTTCTTTTAACGTTGCCAGGAGCTGCAGCAGAGACTAGTCAATGGAGAGGTCATACTTGTAGAGTTGGATAGTGAACAATTGGAAAATATGGATGACCAATCCACAATTTGTAAGTATGAAAATATTACAGCTTTGATCTGAAGATTAGGATTCACCAAGTACAACCAAAATTGGCTCAAACTTTTTGTTTTTTCAGGTACCTTGGACAATCAGATTGAGGGTGCTGACTGGGTTGATCAGGATCAGGATCAGGAGGAGCCTAAGCCAACCACAAGTGGGACTTCAACATTTTTGAGAAGACAACAGCAACAGACTGCATCCCAAACCAGTATGTGAATTAACAGCAGCTGCAAGTGGAGTAAAGTCTTTATTCTTCCTTTCGTTTTATTACAACTACTTTACTTTTCTTACAGAAACTCAAAGAAAGCCAAAGAACCCCAAAAATCCAAGCAAGGAGCGGATCGGGGTGCAACTAGAGGTTGCGAGGAAGAATTTTCAAGAGCTGTGTGGTAACCAGACCGCAGCGATGCAGGTAAATTTACTTTTCATGAGTGACATGGAATTTACCATCAAAGTTCGACCAAAAGTTTCTTAATTTGTGTCTTATATTTTTGCAGCTTCTTGCAGAGGCAGCAATGAAACAAGCTGAGGCTGCACAAATGCAGGCGGAGGCAGCACAAAAGCAAGGGGACGCAGCACTTTTGCAGGCTGCCAATGAGCAGCGGCGGATTGAGCTGCAAGCTCAAAACGATGAGAGATTAATGACTGCGTATGGGAAAATGACGGATGTTATGACTCTGTTATTAGATAAATTAAATCAACTCTAGTAGAAAATAGAATAAATAAATAAATAAAATACAAAAAATATTGTCACTTTCTTTCTTTATTCAATCATACATTATATATGAACACCAAAATAATTCGGAAAGTGGAGTACAGGGCCAGTATAAAAAAAGACACTCTAGAAGTCTTACAATGGCAGGTCTCCATATTATGATGGTGCAGCTTACTTCATAATGTTCCTCTCAAAATTCATTGTACCTGATAGATATTTTGTCGAATTTTGTTTGTATTGTGGAGAAAATCTCCACCATAATATGTTGGTGCAGCCTTTCACCATAAGACATTTAGAGTGCGCTCACATGGTGCTCCAAGAGGGCACTAAAAACATATCACAAAACTTGGGCTCCTTCCATTTTCATTTCATGAATATTGAAAGGGGTCAGACATAGATGATCACAGTCAGCCTTGAGTCAATACGAGGCTAGTTAGGGAGCAGCAACTCCTAAAACACGTATCAACCCCTTTTGTTGTAAATACAGTAAAAAACAGAAAGACGGGCATATTTTGTTCTCCTTCCCAAAAGCTGCAGACACATTCCACAAGGAGCGCCATACACTTTTAAGAGTAGTGCCTGGCTATTAGACGCTCTTGAACCCTTATCCCTTGAGCCCTCATAGTCAGAGGCTGATCATTGTCATCTCTCTCATCTCTTGGGTTGGGTCGATGAGCTCGACGATGAAGTTCTACTTCTTCTGGATCAACTTCCACATCATGCAAATTATTTTCCAATCTCATGTTGTGTAATACAGCACATGCATTAACTATTTTGCCCGCCATTTCTGGATCATACATCAATTTCCTCTGAGCAGATAAACACCTGAACTGTGCTTTGAAGACACCAAAGCACCGCTCAATAACACATCTGGCTTTGCACAAGGCTTCATTATAACGAAACCTTGGAGTGCCAACCCTTTCATGCTTCAAAGGTGTCATTAACCAAGGTTCTACAAAATAGCCATCATCTCCTATAAGCCAGGTTTCTCGTTCACCATTTTGATACAGGCGCCTCATGGCTCGCTGAGCTGCTGAGTTGCTCCAAATGAAATAATCATTTCTGGCACCAGGATAGCGAGCATTCACATTCAACAGCTTAAAGTCAGGGTCACAAATCTGAAAAACCAAACAATTATCACAGGGGAGGTGTCGTGGTGCTGAGGTTTATCTGACCGACAAAGAAATTGACTCACAGCTTGGACGTTGAGGGTGTGATCACCATGGTGGTTTACAAAGGCTTCTTCATTTTGACTCGGACCCAAAATATGAATGTAAGTGCAATCCATGGCACCAATTGCTCCCGGAAAAGGCTGAGGTGCATTCTGGAATTTCAACTTGGCTGCATAACGATCATTAGGAGTCATAGGAAACTTCACCCATCTTCGGAGAAGTCGCTGATTAATGGCGTTTGTTACATCCCTCACACAACGGCTAATAGAGGGCTGGCTGAGTGCAAGATCATATGACTCTCCAACAGCTTCTTGATATGATCCTGTGGCATAGAACCTTAACGCAGCCAACACCTGCAATACAAGGCACGCACACATCTGAGGATGCTGACAAAAATGCAAGCAAAGTTAACAGAGTAGAGTTTCCAAAAATTTTACCTGATGCTCTACAGAAATTCCATAGGGCCGCTGACGTTCCAGTGCAGGACGCAGTTCTTCCACCAGTTCTGTAGCCAAGTCTGGGCTCAGACGAAACAATTTAATGAACCGATCATCATGAAGTTCAAAAGGATCATGAGTGTCCCTCCACGCTCTTGTCTCGACTTTACGTTCCAATCGTTGAACACGATGTTCTAGGTACATCAAGTCGAACGCGGCGTATCCCAAAGCCATTCCTAAGAGATGGAAATACACAATTAGTAAACAACAAACGACCATAACCTCGCAAAACGAAAACAAAACAAGCAGCGGCGTAAGACGTAGTTCAAATTCAAACAGGAATGCATAACAGAAGCTTGCCTAGCAACCACTCGTACCTGGTGACTTTCTTGGTTCAAAAACTCTTCAATTCACTCAACTAAGAACGAATGTTTGAGAATGGTTTGACAGCCTAGCTGTCACAACGCCCCGTCGGTAACACTTATCGGGCGGTCTTGGGAGCCCGATAATTATCGAGTCGACTAGCGACAGACGACCGACTCGATAGTCGGTAACGCAGTGTACAGAATGGCGGTTTCGATAACTTTTGGCGGGAGTCGGTAAATGCCGACTTACCGATACCGAGAGATGTCGCTAGTTTTACAGAATTCCAGTCCAGGCAGCTTAGCGCAGCGACAGCGACAGCCAAGGCAGCGCTAGCAATGGGTTGATTGCGCTCCTCATAGCTCAACTCCTTTAACCTTGGGCTTCTCGGGCACGGATACTCGGCTTCCCCCAAACACGCGCCTTTCCAGGACCAGGAGTCGAATGGCACCGCGATGAGTCACGGCCGAAAGTGGAGGGCTTGTTTTTCGCTTTGCGAGCGCCACCTCCAAAGGCTCGTGGAGTTCCCTCCGCGCCCACCCCACACCCCACCTTGCTTGGCTCTCGCTGAAAGATTCGCATTCGCGCTGCAGAGCGGAAACTTTCTATGTTCTTTCGCTAGATCGTTCAAAATTGGTATTCGGCCTTCATCTCTCTCCACCCTGGCTGGGCAGGCCAGGGCAGGCCCAGGGCAGAGGCCTGGCCCTATCAGGGCGTGACTGCATTTCGACGCTGCCAAGGCGTCAAGGCGCCAAGGCCCTCGCCGTAATGTTTGCTCGCCTTGTGGGTGGGAGTTGGGAGTTCCCCACTGCAAGGGCGCCGTACGTGAACGGGCATACTTTTAACAAGGGAATAGAGAGCGAGGGGCAGGCGCGGGAAGTGAAGTGAAGCATAAATAATGTGTTCGGGCGTGCCTTGCAAGGTCAAGGCGAGGGAGGGGGGTTGCGCCGTAGCTGGCCGTAGCAACCGCCCGCGCTGCTGTGCTGAACAGGTGATGCCAACCGGGACGGGGAGGGGGGAGGGCTTTGTCCGATCATTTTGAAACACTCAGGTGGCCATCGCCATCGCAGGCACTCGGTTCATTGCTTCAACCCGATCCCAGGCGGTTTGGGTCGGGTTTGGGTCCGGCTCGGCCGGGCAGGGTGAGGTGAGTGACCCACCCCTCACCGCCAGGTCTCCCCCCCCCCCCCCTCTCTCTCTCCCTCTCTCTTTCCCTTTCTCTCCCTCTCTTTCCCTCCCTCGCTTTCTCCCACCTCCCACACCCCCAAGGTACCCGTCACGAGGTAGTATACCTGACAACCCAACCGCCAGGACTACAATCTTCAATAATGATCTCGCCGTTCCGGCTGTGTCGTTACTCTCATTGTTTCCGACGACTGGAAACCATAAAAAATGCTCGCCCGATAAGACCGCGACGTAATGGCAACGCAACGTCGCGACACTGTCTAATCTGCTTCCCTCTTTTTGAAAAAGCTCTTGTTTGTCTCCATCAGATTTGCCGCGCGTCGCAAAATAACGAAA